TTAAAAACGGTAATTAAAACAAACATGGCCATATTTTGTTTTTAAAGCATTATGAAGAAGTCTTGAAATTAACTCATAAAGAAATCTGATTATCCACATTGGAAAGAAACATTTTTGGCACATCATCAGAAGAGAAAAACTGAAGGACATCATGATAATGGGAAAATTGGAAGGGAAGACCAAGAAATAAGCCAATGGACAGTCCGGCATTAAAGGACATCTGTATGAAAAATGAGACACTGCATGAGATAGAAGGCTGCTGACAGTCAAGATGACTGATCTTTCATCGCATGGACTTTAAGAAGAATATAATCAGACTGACCTAAATTAAATTAGCTTGAACCAGCACCTTATTAACTTTCCTGACAATAGTGCTATACTGTGTTATGAGGATGAATGGGACTCATAGCCCATGGTGATAGCAAGTGTGACAAGCTCTGACTTGCCTGCTTTAAGATTAGTTTTCTACAACTATAGCAACCTGCACTTAAGAAGCACACAATAGGCATTCTCCTGCTGTTTATATTTTACATCAACATAGCAAAGTACAACAGAAACAAGATCAGATGATAAGAGAATAGTAATAAAAAAAATTAAAACCTGTAATAATAAATGTAATAACACTGAGGTAAATGAAGAAATATATATTCTCTTATGTCAGTGTAACAAATGCACAAAAGACACCTCCTGCAACGCCATGTGTTATGTCCTGGGTTTTCCAAACGATGACTAGCAGATACAAAGTGGCACAGGTCAAGGCGTACATGACGGTATCCACAGACGTTAACCACCCATTGCACAAAGCTTTACACGACACACAAGGAACGCATCTCAAAAGAGGCCACTCTTGGATGGCAAAGGCTGAGGATTTAATCCAGCAGGTATGTGACCTAGATGTGATCAGTCACGGAAAAGAATGGACGAATACACCAGTAGACATGCATGGCATCTCTAAGGTTGTCATCACACTTGGAAGGTACTGCAGGGATCAAATTTCTGCAGCCATAGACACAGCTGTAAGGGAACTGATAGATCAGCATTCAGACTCAGAAGATATCATCATCTACACAGATGGATCCGTGAAGCACGGATCAAGGTTAGCATGGGCATACACCGCGCAAAGTAGGGGGAAAACAATACATCAGAACAGCGGCGCTTACCAGACAACCACGTCAAGCATGACCATGAAAATAACTCCACACAATCAGTTATTGTATCAGACTCCATGAATATGCTTCAGAAAATAGCAACAGGCGGTATGCGCTCTGAATGGGAAGAAAGCATTAGAAAATCGCACTTAACCTCCGTAACCTGGATCTACACACTGGGTCATGTGGGCATAAAGGGAAATGAGCAAGCGGACCAACTGGCAAGTACTGCACTAATGATTGCGGGAAAAAGCATGCACAGAGCAGATATCGTCAATGCTGTACAAACTGGGCTAGTGGATAATGAGGAATCCCTGACACTTACACGATTGCGTGACATTGGAGTAAAGCATGGTGATGCATGTCTCTGCCATCATTGAGGCAGAGATAGGAGACAACATAACCAGCTACTCATGGGAACAATTAGTAGAAGTACTTTGGAGTGGCTGCTGCATCGGAGGACTGAGCACGCATGGGAAGGCCCAATGTGCAGTGACGTCGATTGTGATAACATAACATAACATAACAAGATGGGAAAAGTTACAAAGAGATTTCAAGAAGAATAAACCAAGCAACAACAGCATTTCTTTTGATAAGCAACATGATCAGTAACCAATTCCTGCTAATGGAAGTCTGAAAATATGTTTCAGTACATTACACACTGTCTATACTACTGTATGTCTGTAAATCAATAACAACAAAGAGAGGTGTGAGAAATCAGAGTTCAAACTGTCATAACATTCACTTTAAAATGCCATGGAACGAAAGTGGAATAATATCCAAAAACTGCAAAAAGGTAATTCACAAAGACATCTGATATTCCATATAAGGACCTGACAATGATAAGTTCTGATCCTGTTAAGGGACAAGAAGATCTAATGAAGCTTATGATAATCAGAAAGATCAAAGTTGTTTATGGCACAGGTCAATAACAGTAGAGAAAACGTTGGACTGGTTGGCAGACAGAGTGAGAGAATTGAGTAGATTTGTTTTAATTCAAGAACTGACATCACAACACTCAGGACATTCCCATAAGTGCTTCGTCCCCATCTTCAGCAGCAAGCAAAGAGTTCCAGTTCAATGGCACCAGTAACTGTCTGACTGTATCAACAAACATGATAAAAAGAAATTAACCCAGAATCCTTTCCTCTGAGCCTCCAGCATCAGCCAGAACCTCTCATCACTCCCCACTGCATCAATCTCACCAGACTGTGGTGATCCATCTGCTCCTCCAAACTGTACATGCTCTCCCAACCACGTCTACCTTATCATGCATCAGTATTCCCCCAAGTTGTGCAGAGCCAGCCATTCTCTCAGCTTGTTCATTTCCCATCACACCTGCGTTTGCCGGAGGAAAAAAAATCCAGACAATACTCCTCACCTATGTCCTCCGCAGTGAAGCATGCCACTCTGCACGAAGCATGCCTGTCCTGACCTTCCTCTGCATGCTTTCTGAGTCAGTTACAATCACAATGTGTGTGTATGTGGTGTTTTCTAACCAGGTAAAAGCTGCAGTGACCGCCTCCACCTCCATTCTTAAGCTGGATGTTGTGGTATCATATGCTAGGCTCATATGGAAGAATTCAGAGGTTGAACTTATCAGGAACAGAGGACAGATGTTTATAATAACATGTGATATTTGGTATGCCACGTGATGATGATGAATTAATGTAGTGATAAAAGCAAGCAGATTGTATAAAGTTATGCATACAACAAATTATTATGTGTTCACATAAATATTGATACATTTCTGTATCACACATAATCAACATACATAAAAACACATTAATGGTCCCATGTCCATATTTTTTGGTGTGTTGAGCATGTGATGCTAGTTCAAAATGTTGACAGACCAATCAGCAGTAGTTAAGAGATGTAATTAATATCACATCATTTCCTAGAGCCCATTTCAGACCGGGTCAAATTTCAAATCCAAGGCAATAAAAAATACCTGCCACAGTGGGGATTGTAACCCATGACCACCAGGCTGGAAGACAAAGACGCTAGCCGCCGCTCCACCATGTTCTGCAGCATTAGTCAAGTAAAGGCCCCTGTTCCACATCTACAGGCAAACTGGGCATATAGTGCTAGGCTTACATTTTTATAGACCAATCCACAAGCGGTGGGTGATGTGTTCAACATCTCGCCAGCCGCATTTACTTCCCAGCAATTTACCTGGTACCCAATCAAGGCTATGTCAACCTGGAAGCCAAGGTCATTTTTGAAAAAGTCTGGCTGCATCCAACCCACGACCTTTGAATCTGCAGGCGAGCTGCTCTCTCTATATACACAAAAAAGGGATCTTCTCTAAAATTAAAATTGCTTGGGTATCATAAACTAACACAGCAAAATCTACTAAAATATAAAACAATGACATTATCAACACCATTATAGTTCAGGCTTTAACTAATCATCAAGTAAGATTATATGTGTAATGTTACTTTGAGTAATGTACAACTATTTTCTATGATGTTAAATTAATTATACATTCTTAAATGTAATCCAAAACTTGTTTTTACCTCTGTACTATTTTCTATCACCTCAAGTTTATGTTTTCTGTAATTAGTTTACATCATCTGAAATTATTCTCTATTTGATGATACAATAAGTTGTCCAAGGAAAAAATAAATTGACAACATTAAAGACATTTTCTAATTTACAATATCTGAGACAATTCTCCATATCTGCAATCAGATTTGCAACCATAACTAATAGTTTTACATCATTTGAAATGATTCTCTATCTCATGAAACATGAACAAGTTTCATCACCATCCTCGTAGTCTACTCCTTTTGTTATATCTTGTGCAATCTTTTCAATAACACGGAGAGATTTCCAGTCCAACAATTCCTTGTCCCTCATTAATATATTTGTTGAATTGCTTCTCTAAGACGTCCTAATTATCTCAGTCTAACTGTTTCCCATTTTAGTGCCTGTATTGTAATTTGTGTGTGTGTGCTTTTTTTTTTAAGCTTTGTGACTGAAACTGATGATACTACTGAATGACCAGAGATTTCTCTGATTTTTTCATTTTTCAAGAATTCATAGATGAAACAGGTACAGATAGTTTACATCATCATAAATTATTCACTATCTGATGGAAGAGGAAAAGGACAGTTTACATCATCAGAAATTATTCAGATGAAACATGAATAGATAGTTTACATCATCAGAAATTATTCTCTACCTGATGAAACATGAACAGATAGTTTGCATCATCAGAAATTATTCTCTTCCTGATAAAACATAAATGGATAGTTTACATCATCAGAAATTATTCACTATCAGATGGAACAGGAACAGATAGTTTGCATCATCAGAAATTTTTCTCTATCTGATGGAACAGGAACATACAGTTTACATCATCAGAAATTATTCAGATAAAACATGAACAAATAGTTTACAACATCAGAAATTATTCTCTGACTGATGAAACATGAACAGATAGTTTAGATCATCAGATATTTTTCACTATCTGATGAAACAGGAATAGATAGTTTACATCATCAGAAAAAATTATCTATTTGATGGAGCAGATAGTTTACATCATCATAAATTATTCTCTAGCTGATGAAACATGAACAGATAGTTTACATCATCAGAAACTATTCTGCCTAATGAAACATGAACAAAGGGTTTACATCATCAGAATACTCTCTTTCCAACAAAATATGAAAAAGGTTAGCCTAAATAGACTGAATTCGGTACTATCATCAAAAACACTTGTTTTTTGCATCTAAAATGATTGTCTTTTCAATATACTAGCTTATGTATCTGGATGATATTTTCTACCATTTGAAACCTAAATTCTATCATCTATAACTCATGTCACAGATATTACTACTCTTCCCTCTACTCAAGCACATTAGTAAAGGTACTGGCAATCATTGCCATGCTTTCTGCACTGGGTCTCTTTTCAGGATTCATGTTCCAGCACAAAGATAGAGCTCCTTGAAGCTTCCCATCAAGTTTTAGATTGCTTGATGAAACAGGTGTTAGACCTTTCTCACCAACTTGCACTTTTAGCTGTGGCAATGATAAATCTTCAAATGGAATTTCTTCTACTGCCAGTTCCCAAATTAGGAGTCCCAGTGAGAAGATGTCTGCTTTCTTCAATCCCTCCAGTGATAAAAGTTGCCCCTGGTGTATCTCTGGAGCTGAGTACAAAGGTGTGCCAATGTTGGGAGCTGAAAAGGAGTTGGATGTTTCCACATCTGACTTAATCTTACTAAGACCAAAATCAGTTATCTTGGCACGAACTGGTTTGCTGGGGTCTGTTAAATCTACTCCAGGGACATTAATCAGAAGAACATTCTTGGACTTAAGGTCACAGTGAGCAATGTTTTGGGAGTGCAGATATGCCAGTCCATTGGTGACTCCACTTGTAATGTCTAGCTTATTATTGTCAGTGAATTCCACCTGCAATGAGTATGAAAACAATTATAGATTAAACATTAATATCAACTATGTTTACTGACATGCACTGTATTGAGAGCTAACTACCATCTTTGTTATTAGCACAAACTTCACCTTATATGCTTGGCAGTATCACGTCATAGATTGCAAACACTTTACCTTACATACCTGGCTGTATAAAATCACTGATTGCACACACCTTTTCTTAAATATCTGACTGTATCACACCATTAATTGCACATACCTTTCCTTATAGACCTGGCTTTATCACATCTCTGATATAAGCACACCCCTTTCCCTATATACCCGGCTCTATAACATACCTGATACAAAAACACACATTTCGTTATATACCTGGCTCTTATCACAAATTTGATACAAGCACACATTTTTTCTTACATACCTGGCTCTTATCACAAATCTGATACAAGCACACACCCTTCCTTATATATCTGGCTCTATCACATACCTGATACAAGCACACATTTTTTCTTACATACCTGGCTCTTATCACAAATCTGATACAAGCACACACCTTTCCTTATAAGAAGCACACACCTCTTCCTTGTATACCTGATGATACACACACCCTATATACTGATAACAAGACTGACACACACCATTCCTTATATACCTGGTTAGGATCACACCCCAAGTGATAAACACTAGAAACACACACCACCATTGGCCTTATATACCTGGTTATATCACACCCCTGATAGAAACACCGCACCTCTCCTTATATACCTGGTTATATCACACCACTGATAGAAACACACACCTCTCCTTATATACCTGGTTATATCACACCACTGATAGAAGCACACACCTCTCCTTATATTACCTACCTGTATCACACCTGGCTGTGTCACATATAAAAGCACACACCTACTCCTTACACACGTGCCTGTATCACATCACTGATAGAAACACACACCTCTCCTTATATACCTGGTTATATCACACCACTGATACAAGCACACACCTCTCCTTATATACCTGGTTATATCACACCCCTGATAGAAGCACACACCTCTCCATATATACCTGGTTATATCACACCCCTGATAGAAACACACACCTTTCCTTATATACCTGGTTATATCACACCACTGATAGAAGCACACACCTCTCCATATATACCTGGTTATATCACACCACTGATACAAACACACACCTTTCCTTATATACCTGGTTATATCACACCACTGATACAAACACACACCTTTCCTTATATACCTGGTTATATCACACCAATGATACAAACACACACCTTTTTTTATATACCTGGTTATATCACACCACTGATACAAACACACACCTTTCCTTATATACCTGGTTATATCACACCACTGATACAAGCACACACCTCTCCTTATATACCTGGTTATATCACACCCCTGATAGAAGCACACACCTCTCCATATATACCTGGTTATATCACACCCCTGATAGAAACACACACCTTTCCTTATATACCTGGTTATATCACACCACTGATAGAAGCACACACCTCTCCATATATACCTGGTTTTATCACACCACTGATACAAACACACACCTTTCCTTATATACCTGGTTATATCACACCCCTGATAGAAGCACACACCTTTCTCAGCAATCCTGACCTCTACACCTATCTGCTTTACCTTTTTGATCCACTCACATATTTCTAATTTTATATCTGTCTACATCACCCTTTGAAATGAAAGTAAACTCTTCTTTGTATATGTAGCCATTCATTAAATTACAAGGTCATTTACATCCTACCTAAGTTGTATGTTTATGTCAGTGTTCATTATTTTATTTTAAGTTGCACCGGGTTTTTTCCCATGTGACACACTCTCTCTCTCTCTCTCTCCACAGGACTGCACACAGCTAGAACTTCATAGATCTGATGAGCTACAGTTTTCATTTTTAAAATCCTTTTCATTAGATTATATTAGATGTAAAAGCGTTGTGCCAGTTTACAACATTGTTGCAACATGTGCATTTCGGCTGATACATCCAACTTCTACAGGCATTTGTTGTCCAGGTTAGCCTTCCCATCTTTTACAAGTTCTGTCTACACAATTTCTTTAATAATGTACTTTTTTTTTTTAAACTTTCCTTCTATTTCTTCATAGTTTCACAACAAAATGACATATAGGAAACTATACATTCTTCTTCTTCTACATTGTTTGTCAGACTAACATAATTGTTTTTGTCTGCCTAAAGCAGTTGCATAATTTGCACTTTTTGGCCAACACATCTGACTTCTCAAAGGTTTGTTGTCCAAGCTAAATTTTCCAGTTAGTTTTGTATGACACTGCAGTTTCATTGTTGTTTTGTCATCTGTGCCATCTGGCCCACAGATAGCGCTCCCCAGTGGACTCATCTGGGGCAAAGATGTGCCACCTGGACGGCCCTCAAGGGAACACAGCGGTAGAGCATAAGCATTCTCTGCTTTCCAGTTAGGCTTCCTTAAATGCAGAGTTTATAGATGGGGCTCTGGTACTTTGCTCACTCATGAGTGATAACCTCCTGCACATGCTGCTTAGCCTTACTTGCATATACTGAGCTTTCCATTCATCAAGAGCTGTGCCTTTAGAGACCGGATAAAGGCAGTCTACAGACCTGAGAGTTTTTTACCTTCTAAAATGAGCATTTCGTTCCTCAGCAAATTAGACTTCTCTCATGTCAAGAACACTGTTTACTTGGGTTCCTTAAGGTACTCAGCGTGGCAGTATTGAGTATTAGGACAGACATGATTGTACAGATCATTTTGGAAAACATAAGTCAGGCATAACTATTTTCTTGTCACAACACTCGAGCAAGTGTAGACTTCGGTAGTGGACACTTGAATATGTACTGTAATTGAGTAGGATCTTCACTCAATGGACATTTGAACCTTACTAGCCATTTAAGAGGATTCTCAGTTGACAGATTTAGACCAAAATTAATGTATGGTAGGTTTCAGTGGACCAGAACACATTTTCTAAAAGACATTTTTTCACATGCACCTGGGTTGATTGATGCCATAAATTTTTCACTTTTAGAACTGTACCTCTAGGGCCCCTCAACTCCAAGATTCCCAGTCCCTTAATTTAGGCCATTATCTGTGGCATTACCACATGGGTGTCTGGTATGACTCCTGCAGGTGGTTTTGTAAAACCAGCACTGAGCCTTCTGGCACCTGAGTAAGGTAAGTAAGTAGCTGTCCCCTTCCAGGATTTCAGTCTGTAGGAACATCTCAAGGATAAAAATCAAACAAGTATAAATCCTGGAAGACCTGTTTAACTGTTTAAAACATGTACACTGTGGCACCTTGATGGTTACATGGTAACCTGGCTGGGAATGCCAAGATGAGGTACAGGGTATTTGCTTATATACTGCACAATGGCTTTAACTTTCCCTCATACCTGTAACTAAAAGCACTGCACCACTGGATATTACTTTATCCTTGTCAGTTTTCTTACTATATCACTACATACAGCTAGCTTCACATGTACTAATACTGATGAAATTATAAGCTGTAAATAATATGCCAATAGGGCAAGACAATTCTAAGTATATTAATCAAACATTTCACAACATTTGTTCTTGATTACCTCCTTGATGTGAAGTGCATCATACAGACTCATGTCCATATACTCCATGATAATAGCCAGATTTGGAACCTCAATACAAGCCCCAACAAAAGAAACAATATTTGGGTGATCCAGGTGTAAGAAAAGATCCATTTCATTTTTAAACAGCTGAATTCGTTTCTTTGTCAACTGTTGACTTTTCAATTTTTTTACAGCCACTACTTCTCCATTTTCTAGAGTAGCAATAAACACATCTCCAAAACCTCCATGGCCAATTAGATCTCCAATATTGAGTTTCTCATAATCAATAATTTTGCCTTGATATCTCTGTACTGTTTCTGTTGAGGCACGTTCTTGAGGCTGCCAGCTAATGCTAGGAGTTTCTTCCAGGAGTGTTCTCACTGCATCCTCCCTCTGTCTAAACTCCAGGACGTAAGAGAAATTATCATCAGACATGCACTCAAACTCTTCAGGTATTTCCTCGTCCTGTTGACAAAATAAGTATTTTTTCATTAGGGTTTTCAAATGAAAACTATGATTGTCTGTGTGCCCCACATACATGTGTGCATAGGTGCTAGAACCTAGGTTCTCAGGCCTCTTGAGCCCTTCCCCCCCACCTCCCAATCCCCTCTAAAAAGAACTGGGGTGAGGGGCGCTAAGTAGCCCCCCTCCTCCTTTATCCATATATATGAATGTGTGCTTAAATTATTTGTTTATACATATTTTATTATTTCAAATATATTATTCGGTTCTCCTTAAATGTACGGCCACTTATTATGGAGTACGCCGGAGTTCAGTCCCCTGGCTGCATTGCAATTACGGAGTGGACAAGAGGGAACGACACAAATGACGTACTTACTGTGTGTTGGCGATAGACAGCGTGAACCGATGAGGTAATTACTGTGTGTTGGCGATAGATGCACTGCTGTCATAATAGGGTTAGGGTTAGGGTTTGGGTTAGGGTTAGGGTTAGGGTATTAGTACTCCTTAAAACTACGACCACTCCTAACCCTACCCCTAACCCTAACCCAAACCCTAACCCTATTATGACAGCAGTGCATCTATCACAAACACACAGTAATTACGTCATTTGTGTCGTTCCCTCTTGTCCACTCCGTAATTGCAATGTGGCCAGGGGACTGAACTCCGGCGTACTCCATAATAAGTGGCCGTAGTTTTAAGGAGAACCTATTATTCTAATTATTTGCCATTCATCTTCCAGGTCGAACACGCCTTGAGTGGATGCAGTCCTTTGAAGTAAAGGCGGCCGGCGTGATGCTGACCATATCACCCACCAAGTGCCGTTTGGTCTATAAAATATAGGTCTAGCCCTATATACTAAATACGCTGAAAGGCATGGAAAAAAACAACACACATTTGCTATTCATCACAATATTATTATTATTACTATTATTATTTTTATTAAAATTAGGATTAAGCTCCTTGAGACCTCCCTTACCTAGACAATCTGTAAGGGTAGGGGAGCCTATGTCCCCCCCACCCCCCCCCCCCCCCCACTCCCCACTAATGTGTTCATGGCACTGGTGCAGCTTCATATGTGTGTAGCACATGTGCACTTCTGTGAGTACGGTCATGTACATATGTGCATGCACATACTTCAGGGTTGTATGTAACACAGAATATATGTAAATATATTATATTTAGTTTATAAAAGATGTACTAAATGACTCTAACCTTCTGGGTCATCACTATTTAAATATCAAACTGCAAAGTGTTACCACATTCATAATCAATGTTGTGTGGAAGATTGAGATATAAACCTCATTTTGATTAAATAGTATGTAATTTTCTACAATAAAATCAGCAGTTAAAAATGTTAATAATGTTGTTATGAATGAAAACAAAGTGGCTAAAGATGTCTGCTTCAAAATCAGAATGCTTATAAACTGTGGTAATTAGATGAAAACGTTAATTTTTAAAAATCAAACAAACAACATACATAGCCTCAAAATAAAAATTTCCACCAAAACTTTTAATTCTGCATGAAAACAGAATAAATTAAAGAAGTAGCTCTACTAATATCTCAAATGAAAGCGAAATTAATGACATAAATATTACATTTGATAAATAATAATGCATTATCTCCCCAAACATATTTAACTGGAAGTGTTTTAAGTACTTGGGTACCCTGCTAACAGCAGACAGAGGTATTAAAGAAGTTGAATGTAGAAAGCTCTAACAAAGCATTTCACAAAATGAAGACCATTATATGCATTCCACCATCTGGGAGCATTGAAGAGCATAAAGAGGGAGTACAACAAGGATGTGTACTATCATCTGATTTGTTTTCATTACAGTCATCCATCACTATTCCTGATGCATTATCACTGACGTCGTCATCATCATCATCATCATCATCATCCAGTGATGTTCTCGAATATAGGAAGGGAGGAGATCGGAATCTAATAGCTGAAGAGTTACAGGCGACAGTAGATAAGGTCACTGACTGGTGTACAGAGATGAGTGCTGCAATCAGCCCAGAAAAGGCAACCGTTCTGTGGTGTTCTTTGGACAACAGGATTGTTAGAGCTGATGTTCCTAAACTAAAAATAAAGAGACAGCAGACTGCAGTACCTGGGAATCACCTTTGACATAAGTTTGGCTTTCAAGGATCACATAGAGGGGATTGTGACAAAGGTTTAAAAAGTTCACTAAAGATTATGGCACCGATGGAAATGGAGCAGAGAATGCTGTTCACACTTTACCAGCACTTAATCATATCAGTGATTGATTATAGATTGGGGTTACTCACTGTCTCAAAGAGTCAGCTAGAGAAACTGGAGCGCATACAGAATGAAGCTATGCGGGTTATCCTTGGATGTACAAGAGACTCCCCGATTGTGTGCATGCGATACATCCTTGCATTGCCGACTATTGCAGGTAAGCTAAAGATGCTGCAGGCTAGGTCATACCTCAGAGGAGCTGCATGCCCTCTGTATGAAGCTTTGGCTGCAGGTAAGGGCCAGAGGCTGAAAAGGGGAAAATCGTGGATGGCTTCAGCAGAAGACACAATAAGACAAGTATACATTCTGGAGAACATTGGGCGAGGAGAGGAGTGGGTCAGAGTACCAGAGGAAAAGTCTGACCTGTGTAGGGTTACAATCACACTGGGCCAGGAGTGTAGAGAGTTCCCAGAGGGTGCTACAGAGGTGGAAGTCCAACAGTAGATTCACAACAATTCACGCCCAGGTGATCTGATTATCTATACAGATGGTTCAGTGTTGAGATAAAAGAGAGGTGTTTGAGGGTTTGTAGCGAAAGCCAGTGAAAATCTTTTGTTCAAGACAGCCTAGCAGACGACACCACAACATCTAGCATGAGAAATGAGAATGGAGATGGAGGCAGTAACTGCAGCTCTCCGGCGGCTAGGGAACAAGATGCATACACATAATGCAATTGTAACAGACTCCGAAAGCGTGCTGAGAAAGGTGAAGACAGGGATGCTTCTAGCAGAGTGACAAGCTTCACTGGGAAGGTCAAAGGTAGTGAGCATACTGTGGATCTTTTCTCCATGTATGCCAGCATGGCCGGTGGTGAACAGGCAGACAGATTGGCTGAATCTGCACCACTGGGTGGTGAACTGATACATAAGAAGGCAGATAAGGTCAACAAGCAACTGAATCAGTAGAGAAACAAAATTTTATGCCTGGAGAGAATGAGGCACCTGTGTGTTACCAGAGGGTCTGGCCGGCTCACTACACTCAGAGGAAAGGCAAGATGGACATATAACCAGATTATGACCGGTACCATTAGTATTGGAACTCTACGCTGGCTGCTGAAGGTGAGGACCGAGCACGCATGGGAATGCCCCTGGTGCTGTGATGTCAATTCTTGACTTAACTCAACTCGTTTTCCTTATACATTGAAGATATGATGAGATCTATGCTTGATATGCCAGGAATTGTGGCTGGTGGTTATAACATAAACAACCTGCATTATGCTGATGATACCGTGTTGACAGCGACAAATCAGAAAGAACTACAGGAACTGATAGATACGCTGGTGGTAGAAAATGATAAAATGGGCCTCAGTTTGAATAATGGGAAGTTATACTGATTTCCAGGAAAAGAATAGTGTCTAAATGTATAATAAAAGTAAAAGGCGTTATTTCAGGACAAGTACAGATACAGAAATGTAAATATCTAGGCACGTGGATAACATCTGATGGAAGATGTATCACAGAGATAAAGGACAGAAAAGGACAAACCAAAACTGCATTTGATCAAATGAAGAACATTTAATGCAATAAACCCATGTCATCGGAGGTTAGGAAAATAATTCCTTGAATGCTATATAGAGCCAGTTTTAACATACGGCTGTGAAGCCTGGACAATTAATAAACAATATCTTGAGGCCTCAGAGAAGTGTTTTTACAGAAGAATGCATAGAATTTATTGTACAGCTCAGAAGAGCAACCAAGATGTTTTGAAAGAGGTGAGTGCTCGGTCATGTAATGAAAAGAGGGAAAATGGAACATGTTGTGACAACTGGAAAGATTTATGGAAAGAGAGACAGAGCAAGAAGATTCTTGACCATCTTTTGTCATGGTATGGAAGTGCGTCAAGACACAAACTAATACACGCAGATTGTAGATTGTGGACAAGAATGATCGCCCACGCCAGTTGGCAAGGCACCTGATGATGATGCAATCCATCTATGTAAATTGAAGTAAGGAAGCATTCTTAAGATCTATATAGTGACAATTCAGGTTTACAAAAAAAAGATATGGACAGTTAGCTGATTAATGACATATTATGTGCAAACCAAAACTATGTGGTTTTATAGATGATGATGAGAAAACTGTGCACAGATAAACAAAATAATGAACTCCAATTGAAAGAAAATCACTCATAAAGAGAACTGATTACCCACATCAGAAGGAGACGATCTACATTATTTGATCACATCATGAGAAGAAAACAACTGGAGTACGTCGTGACTGGGAAATTTGGAGGGGAAAAGAAACAGAGGGAGACAGACAGACAGAGAGAGAAGATTATAGTCAGACATTATGACACGAAAGATCATTTGTATCAGAACTCAGATTTGCATGTTCTTCTCTCACACTATGCGAAGAGAAGATCAGAAACTTTGAATTTAAAAACTAAAAATGTATGCCCAGATGGGAAAATGCATATTAATGTAAAATTACAACCATGAAGAAATCTGAAATGTTGTAATTCTTGAATGCCTTGTCTCCTTAATTAACAAAAATGGAGATTGTTCCAAAACATGTTAGGAAACTAGCCAAAGTGCTACCTCTTCTTCTTCACTTTCTCCTTTACCACTTAAAGTGTCAAAGGATATAGAAAGTTCTGCTTCCTGCTCACCTGCCGCCTTGACTGTAGACACACTGTGCTGTTGTAGAGTTTCTCTGATGTTATCTTTCCAACTTGTTCTTGGTCTACCTTGTGCTCTACATCCTTCTCCTGTTTTGGTGTATGCCTTTTATGGTATGTCATCACGGTGCATTCTTTCTAACCAGTTGATTTGCTTTCTTTTTGTATTTAATTTAGAATCGGTTCTCTGCCAACTTTTGCTTGTATAACCTCACTCCAGACTGTATCTCTTCTGGTCACTATTGATGCCCTTCTCAGACACCTCATTTCCATGGTTACTAATTTTCTTTTATGGTTTGTTGTGAATGACCATGCCTGGCACTGGCAGCATACAATGGGAATGAATTTGCTTTGTATGAGATGTTTCTTCATGCTGATCGGGACTATCTTGCTTAGTGAAGAAATAATCAGATATTATTTTCTTTAACCAATTTACCACCTTAGATGAATTTTGCTCCCCAAAATTTAAACTTAGATGCCTGTTTAATGCCTTCACATTATACGGCTACAGGCCACAGCGCCACAGAGATTAAACAGTATGAAAAATCTATGCCCCAATCCAACCACAAATAAAGGCAAAATGTCAATGACTTTTCCTAAAATGAATAAAACTGAGAGCCCTGAATCAAAATATAATAATTCTACTAGCCACTCAATTGTTCATTTTAAAGCTGCATTTAGAATGGGATTTTGCTAGAATATGGCTTTTTTTTTAAAACTATTAAATATGGAAAAGCTTAAAACACAACACAGTGTAAACAGAACAGCACATCCAGAAGGTAATATCAAAACATATACAGCCTCGAAAGATGAGTGAACATGTAAATCACATAACAAAATAGAAACTAACACTTAACAAAAAGATGTCATATATTCGCTGCTAGGGGGAAAAGCAGCAGGTTATTCCTGCATCAAAATACAATAATGTAACTGAATATTCAATCAAGTAGTAATCAGTGAAGTTGGTGACAGTGAAAAGCCAGCTTACAGAATGTTCCTGCAGATGTTTATATAATGCAGCCAGCTTATTTGGTTTGGTGGCAGTAGCCCCCCATGGCTTTCCAACTCTGTCAAGTTTTCTGTTGATGACAGTGTCTCCATACACTTCAGGCTTTCTTGAAATAGGACGAGATCCTAAGGGTAAACCAACTCTGTTGTGCCTGCGATTAAATGCGTTGTCTACGTAGACTTTTTTTGCTTGTGTTCCTTGTGTTGAGCTAGGGATAACAAGTACATTTAAACTTGGAAATATATACAGTACAGTACCAAACTTAGAAAAATAATGGTCCCACGGTTTTCAAACATTGATTAATTACTCAACACTTGTGGATTTATCATCAACAAGTGCCTCGCTGACTGGTATGGATGATGGTACTTCACAAATTGTTATCTCCACCAGGTTGTATTTGTTCTGTTTCCCTGACATGACAAAAAAGGGTCTAAAGAATTTTTTTCATTTCCTTCTTATATTTCTCCTTCCCTAAATCTTCCCAGTTGCCACAAGTATCTTTTCTTCTCATAATGAGGCACAAAATGATAACAGCCTCTTTCTGATGTTTGTAATAAGCTGTCTATTGTGTCCTGCTTTTTTTAATATATTATGTTGATTTATTTAGGCTGCCCAAAGAATTACAGACATTTTCTTTCAAAAATCACATCTCTAAGCTGACTCATTCAGTACCAAGAAAGGAATCAAACATTCGTAGGTTACGACCAAGAAACCCAATAAACACAAGATGCGCCAATCTTATATTTCTATTTACTACTCTTGGGGGCCTATGATGCTAAACTCCCTGGGACTGAAACAGTTAAAGAAGTTTTTATGTTTTCAAGTTTTTTAAAAAATCTTGCTTACAATTTTAAAGGATTCACAGCCATATGTTAAAAATGGTTCAATTTAACATGAAAGAATTAGTTTTTCAAAAGCTCTGTGGTCTAGCAGCTAGACGCTTGCCTGCAGATCGGAAAGTCGAGGGTTCAGTTCTTGATGGCAGTCGGACTTTTTTCAAAAACTACCTTGGCTCCCAGGTCGACCCAGCCTTGAGTAGGTACCAGGTGCAGTCCTGGGAAGTAAAAGCGGCTGGCATGATGGATCACCCATCAAGTTCTGTTTGATCTATAAAATATAGGTCTAGCCCTACATACCCAATATACCTGAAAGGCATGGAGAAGGTTCCTTTACTTTTACTTTACCATACGTAGTCTTTCTTTTCTTGTCTTATTTTGTTCTTTATCTCTGTGAGACATCTTTCATCTGATGTTATCCATGAGACTAGATATGTGAACATCTTTACTTGTCCCAAATTAAAGCCAATTGCTCTAACTGTATATTTAGGCACTAGTTTAGTCCAGTTTTTGTCACCATCGGGAAGCAAGGTCTTTGAATACTGTTATTCTTACCATGGCATGCCAGAGTCCCACTAGGTCTCTGAAAACTTTCCTGTCTCACACACTTCCAGGTCCAGAGCATACTTGATATCTTGTGCCAACCAGCCATGTTATCAATTTCTGCCACTTTTCCCTGAGCCGTACCCTCCATTTATGTTCTTTTCAAACCACTGTGGCCTTCAGTATAAAGAAAGTTTTCACTTTCTGATAAACTATGCTGTCTATGAGCTAGTCCCCCAAAATATTCAGATCCTGAATAGTGTCAGTGTTTTTCCTCCGCTTGGTTCATTACATGCAAGAAACAGTGTCAGTGTTTCTCCTCCGCTTGGTTCATTACATGCTAGCAATAGTGTCAGTATTTTTCCTCTGCTTGGTTCATTACATGCTAGCAATAGTGTCAGTGTTTTTCCTCCACTTGGTTCATTACATGCCAGCAATAGTGTCAGTGTTTTTCCTCAGCTTTGTCCATTACATGCTAGCACAAGTGTCAGTGTTTTTCCTCCACTTGGTCCATTACATGCTAGCACAAGTGTCAGTGTTTTTCCTCCACTTGGTCCATTACATGCTAGCACAAGTGTCAGTGTTTTTCCTCCACTTGGTTCATTACATGCTAGCACAAATGTCAGTGTTTTTCCTCCACTTGGCCCATGACATGCTAGCAACAGTGACAGTGTTTTTCCTCAGCTTGGTCCATTACATGTTAGCACAAGTGTCAGTGTTTTTCCTCAGCTTGGCCCATGACATGCTAGCAATAGTGTCAGTGTTTTTCCTCCACTTGGTTCATTACATGCTAGCACAAGATTCAGTGTTTTTCCTCCACTTGGTCCATGACATGCTAGCAACAGTGTCAGTGTTTTTCCTCCACTTGGTCCATTACATGCTAGCAACAGTGTCAGTGTTTTTCCTCCACTTGGTCCATTACATGCTAGCACAAGTGTCAGTGTTTTTCTTCAGCTTGGTCCATTACATGCTAGCACAAGTGTCAGTGTTTTTCCTCCACTTGGTCCATTACATGCTAGCACAAGTGTCAGTGTTTTTCCTCAGCTTGGTCCATTACATGATAGCACAAGTGTCAGTGTTTTTCCTCCAATTGGTCCAATACATGCTAGCACAAGTGTCAGTGTTTTTCCTCAGCTTGGCCCATGACATGCTAGCAATAGTGTCAGTGTTTTTCCTCCGCTTAGTCCATTACATGCTAGCACAAGATTCAGTGTTTTTTCCTCCACTTGGTCCATGACATGCTAGCAACAGTGTCAGTGTTTTTCCTCCACTTGGTTCATTACATGCTAGCAACAGTGTCAGTGTTTTTCCTCCACTTGGTCCATTACATGCTAGCACCAGTGTCAGTGTTTTTCCTCCACTTGGTCCATTACATGCTAGCACAAGTGTCAGTGTTTTTCCTCCACTTGGTTCATTACATGCTAGCACAAGTGTCAGTGTTTTTCCTCCACTTGGTCCATTACATGCTAGCAACAGTGACAGTGTTTTACCTCAGCTTGGTCCATTACTTGCTAGCAATAGTGTCAGTGTTTTTCCTCCACTTGGTCCATTACATGCTAGCAACAGCGTCAGTGTTTTTCCTCCACTTGGTCCATTACATGCTAACAACAGTGACAGTGTTTTACCTCAGCTTGGTTCATTACATAATAGCAACAGTGCATAAATTATGAAGAATTAAAAACTACTTATGAGATTATAAAACGTTTGAGAACACACAACGAAAATAGCTATTTTCTAATGCTACATTAATTACCCAAGCTTCTCGTTTGAGTTTGTAGCATACGTTTCTTGTTGCTTGCAATTTGAGCGAATGCTGTTGTACAATTCATTCTTTCTTGAAATAGGAACAGACCCCTTAGGCAAACCAACTCTGTTGTGCTTGCGATTGAATGGATTGTCCACATACACTCCCTTGTCAGAATCCACCCTGGGGAATATTTTTAATGAACTAAAAATATGCACATTCTAAATTCTTTCAGGAAACATCAGCTCAAATTATAACAGGTAATTATAACTGATACACCTCTTTACCTGAAGATGGCAGAATTTACAGAGAAATAGAAACTAAATGTCAGAAAGCAAGTGCACTTATTTACCAATTGTCACCATTATTATAACATCCAAACATAACTATGAGTGCAGAAACAGAAATTACAAACAGCATATTCATACCATCATTGAGCTACCAGTGCAAAACATTACCTAAAGGCCAAACATCAAAAAACATCACTTGTGAGATAAGATGCCTGAGAAAAGCTGCCAACCTAGCCAAATGAGATCGAGTGAACAATGATACTATCAGGCAGACTGTGGAGTTGAGCTACGTTGAGCTGACTCAAGAACCGACATCACAGCACTCAGGGCACTCCCATAAGTGCTCTATCCTTATCTTCAGAAGCCAGTGCACAGTTTCAATATCAGTCGTGCCAGTAGCAGTCTGATTATATGTCCGTTTTACCTTTCTCTGCGCATCAAGTATCAGCCAGATCCCATCATCACTGCTCACTGTATCATTCTGACCTGACTATGATGACCAATTTGCTGTTCCCAAATGTACACATGCTCCCATAAAGCCTTAACAGCATCTGCCTTATCATGCATTAATATTCTACTAAGTTGTGCAGAGCCAGCCAGTCTGTATGCCTCTTCATTTCCCAACACACTGGTAGGCCCTGTAGAAAGGATCCAGACAATGGTTTTCCCTGTAACCTCCAAAGCAAAGCATGCCACTTTAGACAAAGCATGTCTGTCATCTTCCTCAGCATACTTTTTGAGTCAGTTACAGTAACGATGTGTGTTTGCCTGTGTGTGTGTTTGTATCATGTTCTCCAGTCAGTGGAAAGCTGCAGTGAACACCTCCACCTCCATTCTTAAGCTGGATGTTGTGGTATCATATGCTGGGCTCTCCATCACCAAATGTTGAGCATTAGCATTTGCTAAGATCCCCCAGGCACTTCTTTCGTCTCTTGACACCTATCTGTATAAATAATCACGTCACCGCAGCAAGCATTATCCTGAATTATTTGCCAAATTCGATCCTCCATGGTACCTGCTGGCACAGACTGTGCAAACAACACCTTGTACAAAATTTAATGAGAAAAAGTAGATCAAGAGGTTTGGCCATCTCGTTAGAACGCAGCAACATCAAATACCATCACAGGCACTCAATCTCAGAAGTTCAGCTACAAGAGCAGAGGACAGCTATGAAAAATGTGGATCAACAACATTTTTAAAGACATGTTACACCTTCACAGCATGACAATAGCCAGTACCAGCCAGCGTGCACTCAATCACAAACTATTCCTTTCCATGGAACTTCATGGCAGAAGTGGTTTACGATGATGATGTTGATAATGATGATACTTCTCTGTATTAAACGACAACTAAAACGGATTATGCATGAATCAGGTAAAAGACTCCTTTCATGTTACTGGTACATTAGGCATATGATGCTGGACCTATATGTCTACAGACCAATCAATATTCCATAGGTGATGTGGTCAATGTCACACAATAACCTTTACTTCCCAGGACATTTCCTGGTCCCCACTGTATACAGATGTAAGCATGGGAAAACATTTTATAACCATCATTGTGTGCCATGCTGATAATCATTGCCCATTGTGATTCACCATCTCACACAATCACAGGTCAGGACTATATTCCTCTGCAATTGTGCAGTGAAACCAAACTATCCAGATATTTACCTCTCTGTCTCCTCCTTTGTCCCAATTAAGTTTGCCGGGTGTCATCAAGTTTTTGGGTTCTCTCTCATCACATGTCAAAAAGTATCTTCACTGCCTACATTTAATTTCGCTAATGAATTTTTTTTTTTTTTCACTCATCTCTTGGAGGACTGAATTATTTATTGTTCTGCCGGTCTACAACATTCTTTATCATTAATTACTGAACATGACTATGATTCACTTCACTTAGAAGCAGAATATCCTAAAGCCAGTTGCGGTGCAAACCTGTTTCAAAGCATAGGTTCAATTTCTACTAATAAAAGTTACAATTTAAGATAAGCTTAAATTACCCAGTGAGATTTCTCAAAATGCGGAAGAGATATGAACAATATGTTATTAAAAACAAAACCTATATATATATAGTCTAGCAACTGTCATTGCATCCCTTAACTCTTTGAGTCCCAAGGAACGCATCATACGTTCATAGGTTCCTACTTAGAAGCCCAATGAACGCATGATGCGCCAATTTTATTACTTTCTTTACCACCCCCTCGGCCTGTGATACTAAACCCCCTGGGACTCAAAAAGTTAATCCTCAAGAACAGCTCATAGTTTGTTTCCATCTACTCTGCATGTTTAGACATTTCTCCAGACAATTGTAACTTGTATAAAATTATCATCCCCATGGTCATCATCAGCAACAGGTCCTTTCTTCTCATCATCATTATAAAATTATAAACAGATATCCCTCTATGACATGATGTCAGAATGTCTAACACTCTTATGATCTCTCCCTCTATGACATGATGTCAGAATGTCTAACACTCTTATGATCTCTCCCTCTGTGACATGATGTCAGAATATCTAACACTCTTATGATCTCTCCCTCTATGACATGATGTCAGAATGTCTAACACTCTTATGATCTCTCCCTCTATGACATGATGTCAGAATGTCTAACACTCTTATGATCTCTCCCTCTGTGACATGATGTCAGAATGTCCAACACTCTTATGATCTCTCCCTCTGTGACATGATGTCAGAATATCTAACACTCTTATGATCTCTCCCTCTATGACATGATGTCAGAATGTCTAACACTCTTATGATCTCTCCCTCTATGACATGATGTCAGAATGTCTAACACTCTTATGATCTCTCCCTCTATGACATGATGTCAGAATGTCTAACACTCTTATGATCTCTCCCTCTGTGACATGATGTCAGAATGTCCAACACTCTTATGATCTCTCCCTCTGTGACATGATGTCAGAATATCTAACACTCTTATGATCTCTCCCTCTATGACATGATGTCAGAATGTCTAACACTCTTATGATCTCTCCCTCTATGACATGATGTCAGAATGTCTAACACTCTTATGATCTCTCCCTCTATGACATGATGTCAGAATATCTAACACTCTTATGATCTCTCCCTCTGTGACATGATGTCAGAATATCTAACACTCTTATGATCTCTCCCTCTGTGACATGATGTCAGAATGTCTAATACTCTTATGATCTCTCCCTCTGTGACATGATGTCAGAATGTCTAACACTCTTATGATCTCTCCCTCTGTGACATGATGTCAGAATATCTAACACTCTTATGATCTCTCCCTCTGTGACATGATGTCAGAATGTCTAACACCCTTATGATCTCTCCCTCTGTGACATGATGTCAGAATGTCTAACACTCTTATGATCTCTCCCTCTGTGACATGATGTCAGAATATCTAACACTCTTATGATCTCTCCCTCTGTGACATGATGTCAGAATATCTAACACTCTTATGATCTCTCCCTCTGTGACATGATGTCAGAATATCTAACACTCTTATGATCTCTCCCTCTGTGACATGATGTCAGAATGTCTAAAACTCTTATGATCTCTCCCTCTGTGACATGATGTCAGAATATCTAACACTCTTATGATCTCTCCCTCTGTGACATGATGTCAGAATGTCTTAACACTCTTATGATCTCTCCCTCTGTGACATGATGTCAGAATATCTAACACTCTTATGATCTCTCCCTCTGTGACATGATGTCAGAATGTCTAACACTCTTATGATCTCTCCCTCTGTGACATGATGTCAGAATATCTAACACTCTTATGATCTCTCCCTCTATGACATGATGTCAGAATGTCTAACACTCTTATGATCTCTCCCTCTGTGACATGATGTCAGAATGTCTAACACTCTTATGATCTCTCCCTCTGTGACATGATGTCAGAATATCTAACACTCTTATGATCTCTCCCTCTATGACATGATGTCAGAATGTCTAACACTCTTATGATCTCTCCCTCTGTGACATGATGTCAGAATATCTAACACTCTTATGATCTCTCCCTCTGTGACATGATGTCAGAATGTCTAACACTCTTATGATCTCTCCCTCTGTGACATGATGTCAGAATGTCTAACACTCTTATGATCTCTCCCTCTATGACTTGATGTCAGAATGTCTAACACTCTTATGATCTCTTCCTCTATGACATGATGTCAGAATGTCTAACACTCTTATGATCTCTCCCTCTGTGACATGATGTCAGAATGTCTAACACTCTTATGATCTCTCCCTCTGTGACATGATGTCAGAATGTCTAACACTCTTATGATCTCTCCCTCTGTGACATGATGTCAGAATGTCTAACACTCTTATCATCTCTCTCTCTGTGACATGATGCCGTATTGTCTAGAATTCTTATGATCTCTCCCTCTGTAACATGATGTCATATTGTCTAGAATTCTTATCATCTCTCTCTCTCTCTCTCTCTGTGACATGATGCCATATTGACTAGAATTCTTATGATCTTTCCCTCTGTGACATGATGTCATATTGTCTAGAATTCTTATCATCTCTCTCTCTCTGTGACATGATGCCATATTGTCTAGCATTCTTATGATCTCTTTCTCTCTCTGTGACATGATGCCATATTGTCTAACATTATCTTGATCTCACCCTCTGTGACATGATGCCATACTGTCTAGCATTCTCCCTACCTCTCCCTCTGTGACAAGATGCCATACTGTCTAGCATTCTCCCTATCTCTCCCTCTGTGACATAATAACATACTGTCTGGCATTCTTCTGATCTCTTCCAGCCTCTCTTCCTGTCCAGATTTCTGTTGTCATGACATATTCAAGTTTTCTATTTTTCCATGACAAGTCAAAAAAATATGGATTTTTATTGAAGCATGTAGTCATTTTTCTAACTTTCAAGATACTGCTGTCTGTATTAAATGAACGGGAATCCTAGACAAATAATATCAAAATTAGGAATAAAGAGAAAAAGGATAAGAAATGGTTCAACTGAAGAATGAAGAAAATGCTATGAAAGGCTAAGAATACCTATGTTTAAGTGTTCATGCTGTGACCAAGAAAATATTTTATGTATATCCCCATGACCATCTTTTAAGTCCCATTTATCAGTCTTTCTGCCTTCAAGGGCAGTTTGTTGTCTTATTTCTACACACACCTGTATACTGGGACACAAGATTCACACAAGCTCCCAAACATTTGAGAAACCATAAAAGGCAGTCAGTACTCTTAGGTAGCGGCTAAACTTGGCAAATTCAAATTGATGACAGTGGTGTAGTATTAGTACCCCAATGTGAATAGCCAGGAAATATTTACTTTCCAAATCTCCTCTTGACACTCTCTTCCGAGTACAATGGTGACCTTACAGTAGTTGTTCTCAAAATTTAAAATCAAAAATTAACCTTATATACAAATACAAATGACCAGAGGATCTGGCCAACACTCAACATTCATGGGTAAGGCAAGACATACATACTGCCACTGGTACCTTCGGAACGGAAGTCTGTGCTGGCTGCTGAAGATGGGAGGAAGCACTTATGGGAATGGCCCAAGTGCTATGACAACTTAACAAGTACAAATAAAACACAAAATATGCAACAATGTTTTACCTGGAAGGAACTGTTGTCCCATGTGCCATACCAGCTCTGCCCAATTCTTGGTTCACTGTAATGTCAACATATGACTTTGGTGTCTCTGACCTGAGAAAATAAACAATGAACGGATTATATTTTAATAAATTTGTATTAACCATTACTTGAAAGGCACAAATGGATGAGACACAAAACTCCTACTCTAAAGGAAATGCAAGTAGTAAGGACTTCAGCCATTCAACAGCAGGAAAAAAAATAATTTTCAAACATACTTTCAAATAGTAAGCCAGAATATGTAAGATAAAACACAGAAATAATTGTAATGAAAATGTCATCTGCACAAACAGAGAGAACAGAGAGATGCATTCTGATTTTGAAGGAAAGACTCCCAATTAGTCAACTCCTATGACATGCTTGTTGGGGAGGCAGTGGGTCTATTCTTTGTTCTCCAAAATGGAGCCCCAGAACCCACCTAGGAACAAAGAGGATTCAAACATATAACCATCAGACTGGCTAGTGAGATAGTCACAGCACTACCATGGATATAATTCTTATAAGGGAGGCTTCTATTTCATGCAATCCCTTCTGTTTTAAGATGACTCTCACATTAAAATTCAGTCTACAGCACCCACTCAAACAGCAGTTGGCCAAATGTTGTTTGCTGCTGTTTCAGTGGTTAGAGACAATATCCCTCTCATCTTAACTCCACCTAATGAAGAACTAGTGCCTCCGTACATGAAATCTAATTGCATTTTCAATTTACATGCTAGTGCCAGTTAATTTATGTCAGTCGAATGGAGAGACACTTGGGAACAAAGTGGCAAAATCTTAAATGGCTCTGTATATGCGTGAGTGAAGATCCCACAAGTGCATCAAGACCAACTATGATGAAAGAACCCATCTCTTCAACAGGACAGCATCTGCTCAAATCGAGACACGTAATCGATAGATGCAGTGCATTTTGTGTTATATACTTAAGTCTTGGAGATTACATGAAGCTGGAAGAAGTTTTTAATAAAAGCTGCCAATCCTGCTTTAAGCAAGCAGAAGGAATTTTTGATAAATTTAAATTTGGCATCGTCAACTACGTGACTATCTCAATTCCCGCAACCATCCTGATTTTGAAACAGGAATGATCCAAGTGAAAACACTGTTCAATTTTATCCCAACTCATATTGTCTGCAAAAAGTTCTGCATCTGCATTAGTAATCATAATGTCAAGACTACTGTCACTATCTGGCTCAGATTCATCAATGACAGCAGCAGTATGGACACTTCTGGATCTAGCTGTGTTATTGTTCTGACCTTTTCCCTTACCATTTGTTCTGGCATGTTTTGCAGCTGATATTCATGATCAATGTCATCATCAACATCAATATCAGTTGAACGCTAAGACTTCACTAGAATTACCTTGTTCTTCATCTAACAATGGCTGAATAAGATCTAAAGCTTGAGTTCTGGTCATTCTTTGAGCTCTCTATACAATGGATGCTGAAGGATTGGAAAATCCCATTTTAGGAAAATCCAACAACAATTTCATACAAATTAATTTTCCTAGCAAATAAAACAATATTAGAGTGTCTATGTCGGCAACCACTGAATCAGTGATATGCCTAAACATCTGGAAAGAGTTATAATTATATACTGATGTAATTTTTTTTTTTTTTAATACAGAGCTCAGGGCGCAGGTAACAAATTGTGATTTTCTTCAAGAAATCTTAGCGTTCTGCTACTGGCTGATGTAAAGGATTGGAAATGTGTTGTCCCTGGTTACAATGTGTCCAGATTTGAAAAGATGGTGCGCTATTGGGGAGGAATGGTCTTATGGTCGGTATTCTCATTTTATGTCATTCTGTTGTAATGAGATACAGTAAAATATGCCAAGCAATGAAACTGCAATGTATTGTTTGTGTCTGAATTATTCAAATCTCTCTCATTACTTGGGAAATAACATTCTGATTGATGATCTTGCTGCATGGATCTTTTAGTTTATACTGCATCATCAACCCCAACCAGAGAATCAATTTTCTAAATCTTCTCTTGACACTCTCTTCCAAGTTTGGAGGTCACTAGATAGATGTAAAATCTAGTACATAAAAGCAGTGTCAATTATTTACTTGGAATGAACTGCTGTCCCATGTGCCATACCAACTCTGCCCAGTCCTCGGTTCATCGCATTATCAACATATGTCTTTGCTGGCTGTGACCTAAGCAAATAAACAATGAATGTAATCTCAGTGGAGATCACTGTTACAGTACTGATCTCAATATGCTTAATTATTGTGTACTGAGGGTAAGAAACAAGACAATAACTATCACGTGGTTAAAATAACAAAGAAACAAGACAATAGCTATCACATCGTTACAATAATGACGAAACAAGACAATGGCTACCAGATGGTTACATTAATGATAAAACAAGAAAGCGGCTACCAGATGGTTATATTAACGAAGAAACAAGACAACAGTATCAGATGGTTACAATAATGATGAAACAAGACAATGGCTACCAGGTGGTTACATTAATGATGAACAAAGACAGTGGCTACCAGATGGTAACATTAATGAAGAAACAAAACAATGGCTACCACATGGTTCTCTAATGATGAAGAAAGACAATGGTTACCAGATAGTTTCATTAATGATGAAACAAGACAATGGCTACCAGATGGTTACATTAATGATGAAACAAAATAATGGCTACCAGTTGGTTACATTAATGATAAAACAAGACAACAGTACCACATGGTTACAATAATGATGAAACAAGACAGTGGCTACCAGATTGCTACAATAATGATGAAGCAAGACAGTGGCCACCAGATGGTTACATTAATGATGTATCAAGGCAAAAACTACCATTACTGATAAAACAAGACAACAGCTACCAGATGGTTACATTAATGATGTATCAAGGCAAAAACTACCATTACTGATAAAACAAGACAACAGCTACCAGATGGTTACATTAATTATGTATCAAGACAAAAACTACCATTACTGATAAAACAAGACAACAGCTACCAGATGGTTACATTAATGATGTATCAAGGCAAAAACTACCATTACTGATAAAACAAGACAACAGCTACCAGATGGTTACATTAATGATGTACCAAGGCAAAAACTACCATTACTGATAAAACAAGACAACAGCTACCAGATGGTTACATTAATGATGTATCAAGGCAAAAACTACCATTACTGATAAAACAAGACAACAGCTACCAGATGGTTACATTAATGATGTAGCAAGGCAAAAACTACCATTACTGATAAAACAAGACAACAGCTACCAGATGGTTACATTAATGATGTACCAAGACAAAAACTACCATTACTGATAAAACAAGACAACAGCTACCAGATGGTTACATTAATGATGTATCAAGGCAAAAACTACCATTACTGATAAAACAAGACAACAGCTACCAGATGGTTACATTAATTATGTATCAAGGCAAAAACTACCATTACTGATAAAACAAGACAACAGCTACCAGATGGTTACATTGATTATGTATCAAGGCAAAAACTACCATTACTGATAAAACAAGACAACAGCTACCAGATGGTTACATTAATGATGTATCAAGGCAAAAACTACCATTACTGATAAAACAAGACAACAGCTACCAGATGGATACATTAATGATGTACCAAGGCAAAAACTACCATTACTGATAAAACAAGACAACAGCTACCAGATGGTTACATTAATGATGTATCAAGGCAAAAACTACCATTACTGATAAAACAAGACAACAGCTACCAGATGGTTACATTAATGATGTACCAAGGCATAAACTACCATTACTGATAAAACAAGACAACAGCTACCAGATGGTTACATTGATTATGTATCAAGGCAAAAACTACCATTACTGATAAAACAAGACAACAGCTACCAGATGGTTACATTAATGATGTATCAAGGCAAAAACTACCATTACTGATAAAACAAGACAACAGCTACCAGATGGTTACATTAATTATGTATCAAGGCAAAAACTACCATTACTGATAAAACAAGACAACAGCTACCAGATGGTTACATTAATGATGTATCAAGGCAAAAACTACCATTACTGATAAAACAAGACAACAGCTACCAGATGGATACATTAATGATGTACCAAGGCAAAAACTACCATTACTGATAAAACAAGACAACAGCTACCAGATGGTTACATTAATGATGTATCAAGGCAAAAACTACCATTACTGATAAAACAAGACAACAGCTACCAGATGGTTACATTAATGATGTACCAAGGCATAAACTACCATTACTGATAAAACAAGACAACAGCTACCAGATGGTTACATTAATTATGTATCAAGGCAAAAACTACCATTACTGATAAAACAAGACAACAGCTACCAGATGGTTACATTAATGATGTACCAAGACATAAACTACCATTACTGATAAAACAAGACAACAGCTACCAGATGGTTACATTAATTATGTATCAAGGCAAAAACTACCATTACTGATAAAACAAGACAACAGCTACCAGATGGTTACATTAATGATGTATCAAGGCAAAAACTACCATTACTGATAAAACAAGACAACAGCTACCAGATGGTTACATTAATGATGTACCAAGGCAAAAAACTACCATTACTGATAAAACAAGACAACAGCTACCAGATGGTTACATTAATGATGTATCAAGGCAAAAAACTACCATTACTGATAAAACAAGACAACAGCTACCAGATGGTTACATTAATGATGTATCAAGGCAAAAACTACCATTACTGATAAAACAAGACAACAGCTACCAGATGGTTACATTAATGATGTATCAAGGCAAAAACTACCATTACTGATAAAACAAGACAACAGCTACCAGATGGTTACATTAATGATGTACCAAGGCAAAAACTACCATTACTGATAAAACAAGACAACAGCTACCAGATGGTTACATTAATGATGTACCAAGGCAAAAACTACCATTACTGATAAAACAAGACAACAGCTACCAGATGGTTACATTATTGATGTACCAAGGCAAAAACTACCATTACTGATAAAACAAGACAACAGCTACCAGATGGTTACATTAATGATGTACCAAGGCATAAACTACCATTACTGATAAAACAAGACAACAGCTACCAGATGGTTACATTAATGATGTACCAAGGCAAAAACTACCATTACTGATAAAACAAGACAACAGCTACCAGATGGTTGAAACCACAAACTTAGTAGCAAAATAATGATATTTTTAGCACATGTATGCAATGATTATACTTAAAATTAGCATAATTAATTTGTAGAAAAGAAAATATTAAGCTAGAAATAATAACATGTGAGTACAGTATATCGTAACATGGGCAAAGGATCTAAACCTCGCCTGAAGATGTCCCCACTTTGAAGTGGTGGGAGAGCTTGCGCTTCTCAGTGACCCTGAGAGCTAAGCTGGTGGTAGCATAGTTACCAGCAGAGCCTCTCAAACCAGACAGGTTACAGTGACAGAATTTACAGAGACACTCTAGTCCTTCAGGCTGGGGGCTGAAGCATCAGGCTGACATACCCCACCTTTGTGAAACTTCCTTTCTGTCATGAAACATATATCCAAGCCTCAAACTGTGATTGATTTAAAATGATCCAGCTATCTCATTTGGCTCTGAAACTTGGAGCACAACAAAAAGAGATGAAGCTTTATTATAAATTTTGGAAAACAGTGTCTTACAATGAATCTAGACCCATTGAAGATGCAAACAAGGAATTGAGAATGAGAAGCAATAAAAAAATTTATAATGTGTTTGAATCACTACTGGTCACTAGCATCATGAGGACTAAAGACTGACATGGCAGGGTCATAGAGAAAATGACAGATGATAGAGAGGCACAAACTGAGTTACTAATGGAGTTAAATGGTCGTAGATCATGAGGCAGACCAAGAAAATGTTTAAGAGATGATATCTAGGCAGACCTACAAAGACACATGGTTTTACTAACTGAAAAGATAATGCCAATCAAAGAAATGAATGGAGGTGGATGATATCTGCAGCAGTCAGGCATGCTGGCATGAAGAAAAAACTCAGGAAGCTCACACCCCTGTAATTTTCTAGTGAGCAAAAAAAAGAGGGAGCTCAAGGAGCTTAAACCTTGTTTAACTTCACAATAATTATTAATAATATTATTACTTCTGAGTGTTGAACCGTAAATATGATAATATATTTGAAATAATATTAAATATATGAATAAATGTTCAAAAAGAAGACATCTGTACATGATGGTGGACAGGAAAGGATGTGGCTGGGGAGGGGGGGGGGGGGCATATTCTAATAAATAAATAAATATTCTGGCCTTTCACTAGGCAGTTAAGTTGCTGTCATGTAATTTTACACTATTAGTCTGCTGTTGTTATTGTTGTATGCTAGCAAAGGCTTCCTACCCACATGTCCAATTTGTAACTTGAGATTGTGTATTTATGAGTATCTGGCCATGTCAGCTTTCCATTTTGGTAGACACTTTTCATTATAAAAATGTTCATGTGGGTTGAATTTCTCATTACAAAATTTAGCCAGGTAAGCAACCGATTCAATGAAATCATTGTAATTGTAAACTACTGACAGCTTTTCCATAGAAATAATATTAAAGAGAATCCAAAGATATAACCACTAGACTAGACGTCTGTGTGCTAGAAACTGCACTGGCATTACTGTCATTCTCATTGTGGGTGGGTTCATAGCGAAAGCGAATGGACATCACTTGGTGCAACAAAGCCTAGCATATGATATCACAACATCTAGTTTGAGAATGGAGGTGGAGGCAGTCACTGCTGCTTTCTGCTGGCTTGAGAATCAGCTGTACACACATGTTGTCATTCTAACTGACTCACAGAGCATGCTGAGAAAGGTGGAGACAGGCATGCTTTGTGCAGAGTGGCAAGCATCACTTCAGAGGTCCCGGGTAGTTAGCATCCTTTGGATATTTTCTCCAGGTCATGCCAGTGTGTTGGAAATGAGCAGACAGATAGACTGGCCGGTTCTGCACCACTTGGTGGTGAACTGATGTATGACAAGCTGGATGTTGTGAGTGTCCTTTGGGAGTGAGTGAACAGTGCTGATTAACAGATAGATCATTACGGTCTGAGGAGAATGGCGCTGCGAGGAGTTACAAGGGGTCTGGCCGAGGTTTGACACTCAGGGAAAAGGCAAGACGAATATACAATCAGACAGTAACTGGTACCATCGGCATTTCAACTCTTTGCTTGCTGCTGAAGAGGGGGACAGAGATGTTTCGAGTGCTGTGATGTCAATTCTTAATTCAACATTCGTTGTGGGTGGCTGTTATTCTGAACAGATTTTTTTGTTTTAATATGACTCTGTCTGTCTCCTTAGTTTAGAAACAACAAACTCAGTTACTGACATGTAGCACAAACCCTTAGTGTCACTACAGCATCATCTTTCCCTACTTTAGAATTCATCACAGGTTCACTTTCTATTACTCTTCTATGTACTCTGTTTCAAGTGTGGCTGTCCCTTATTAGTAGCTGTTATCATAATGTGAAATCTAGAAATACCTTTACACACATGTACAGTGGACTGTTAGTTCTTGAAAGCCGCCCCCCCCCTCCCTCCCCCTCCCCCCTTCCCCCCCCCCCTCCCTACTGAAACAATCTGGTTTCTAAATAACAACAAAACATCTGGGTTACCAAACGAAACCTTGGTTCCAGAACAGCAATTCCAGAAAAAAAATGTATTTCACATGTTGAGGTTGTGGTGAAAGATCCATCTTCACCAAGCAAATTTCCTGCTCGAATGTGCAGTCTTTTTATGATTTTCTTTGACATACTCCTGCTTACCCACCAGGTTTATAAAGGGGCTGATAGGTGAATTTGATTTTATCACAGTGATTCCTCCTACCTAACACATTTCTAATCCTTACCATGAACCAGTAGGTCACTGCAAACTTTAGGAAACTACTCCAAAGCAATGTTTCAAACCTGTTTGGAAGCATCCTCTGACATACAATCACTTAGAGAATTCTGAAAAATCACATGAACAAATGTGCTCTGTAGGTTACAGCAACCTTGTCAACGTTTAGGTACCAGTAACTTTACACAACCATCAACTCATTATGGAGACAATTGTGGCCAGACCGTGTAGCAAACAAAGACACTGTGAGCTTTGAGGTAGAGTTTGGGTGCCAGTAACTTTACACAACCATCAACTCATTATGGAGACAATTGTGGCCAGACCGTGTAGCAAACAAAGACACTGTGAGCTTTGAGGTAGAGTTTGGGTGCCAGTAACTTTACACAACCATCAACTCATTATGGAGACAATTGTGGCCAGACCGTGTAGCAAACAAAGACACTGTGAGCTTTGAGGTAGAGTTTGGGTGCCAGTAACTTTACACAACCATCAACTCATTATGGAGACAATTGTGGCCAGACCGTGTAGCAAACAAAGACACTGTGAGCTTTGAGGTAGAGTTTGGGTGCCAGTAACTTTACACAACCATCAACTCATTATGGAGACAATTGTGGCCAGACCGTGTAACAAACAAAGACACTGTGAGCTTTGAGGTAGAGTTTGGGTGCCAGTAACTTTACACAACCATCAACTCATTATGGAGACAATTGTGGCCAGACCGTGTAGCAAACAAAGACACTGTGAGCTTTGAGGTAGAGTTTGGGTGCCAGTAACTTTACACAACCATCAACTCATTATGGAGACAATTGTGGCCAGACCGTGTAGCAAACAAAGACACTGTGAGCTTTGAGGTAGAGTTTGGGTGCCAGTAACTTTACACAACCATCAACTCATTATGGAGACAATTGTGGCCAGACCGTGTAGCAAACAAAGACACTGTGAGCTTTGAGGTAGAGTTTGGGTGCCAGTAACTTTACACAACCATCAACTCATTATGGAGACAATTGTGGCCAGACCGTGTAGCAAACAAAGACACTGTGAGCTTTGAGGTAGAGTTTGGGTGCCAGTAACTTTACACAACCATCAACTCATTATGGAGACAATTGTGGCCAGACCGTGTAGCAAACAAAGACACTGTAAGCTTTGAGGTAGAGTTTGGGTGCCAGTAACTTTACAGAACCATCAACTCATTATGGAGACAATTGTGGCCAGACCGTGTAGCAAACAAAGACACTGTGAGCTTTGAGGTAGAGTTTGGGTGCCAGTAACTTTACAGAACCATCAACTCATTATGGAGACAATTGTGGCCAGACCGTGTAGCAAACAAAGACACTGTGAGCTTTGAGGCAGAGTTTGCAGCTATTGTAATTTGTGTATTTAAACAACAGTATGGGCTTGGAAGTTGAGAGGGCAGATATGGAAGAGTTAGTTAAAGGTCTTTAGAATGAGCTTACCATAGAAAAAAACTAGAATATCTTCGGAAACAAAAACAGAAACTCTTTACTCATCAACTTTCATTTTTGCTATTAATTTTTTTTAAATAAACAACAAATGTTTATATCTTTACAGTTTTTCTGTAGAATTATGTGCATGAAGTATTGTTATGAAGGTTGAAATGTATTTGTGATCAACTTGAGGTAGGGAAAAACTTAATTTTACACTAATTCTTATGGGATAATAGTATCAGTTTTTCAAGCTCAGTTTAATTCAATTTCCAAACAACTTTTAAGACGAATTAAATTCAAGAATAGAGCTTCCACTGTATAAATAAAACTTCAAAGCAGTGACAATTATTTTACTTGGAATGAACTGCTGTTCCATGTGCCATACCAACTCTGCCCAGTTCTTGATTCACTGCATTATCAACATATGTCTTTGGTGTCTCTGACCTAGGGGAAAAAACACTGAACTGAACTATATGAAATGTTACTAAATTTATACAAAATGTTATTTCAAAGAGAAGAACTGGCTGAAAGACAATGGTCCTTACTCTGAAGAAAATGCAGTCAGCCAAAATTTGGTAAATCAGCAGTTAGAACGACAATAATTTTCAAATATAGCTTCACTTAAAGGTCATAATAAACTAATGACCATTTCTTTAATATTTCCAACTGCAGAAAGATTTGTAATGTGCATACCAGTCCTCTGAGATTTGTTACTTTGCTTGAAAGAGCTATATGGCTGATTCTACTACCACGGGTTCAGGAGGAGTATTCTATCCCCCCCCCCCAACCCCACACTTTTGTGGAAAAGGGGGGGGGGGGGGGGTGATAATCATGAATCTGATGAACATAATAACCTCTGATCTACTCTGCCACCAAGAGAAGTATGTCCATGCATCAAGCCGTCATGTATTGCTCCCAATTGACCTGCTCTATTAATCTTTAATATCTCAAGTGACAAGTATCTTTAAAGTTAACATATTAGCTATTTATTTCCTTACACCCCAGCATGGGGGAAGCAAAAGTTTCCCCTAGTTCTAACAAATGTCAGCCTTCCTTAACCCTCTTAGCACGGACGGACCGATTATCGGCCGGCGGATGTCTGGCCAAAAACACGGAACGGCCAAAAACACGGAACGGCCGATCATCGGCCCAATCGTATTTCGCCTCGAACCGCTTAGAAATCTCCTATTTTGAAACACTTAAAGTGATTCATTTATATTAACTGCTGTATCAGCTTTACACATGACGACTTTCGAGTGTTTGGTATCGAAGTGAAAATTGTTGTTGAATTTTTTAGATAGTGACCTGAACCGCTAAAAGTATGTCTGACTCATATGTTTCTGCCCCTAAACTTGATGTTGATAAAACTTTTAAATCAAGTGATGACACTAATTCTGTTGATACTGGTGCAGGATTTAGTATTAGTAGTAATAGTGGCAATCAGATGGGGACGCTGTTGTGTTCAGACCACAGCCCAACTATGGCTCAGGGTATGTGATGATATCCACCCGAAGGTGTTGACACTCCGGCACATCCATTTCTTGTGCTGACTGATGGTGAAAAACACATGTCACCTAAAGATATTATTGCTGTTTCATATATATATATACCTGTTTTTGACTATTGAATTGCTTACAACATTTGCAAAAACTAAAGGCCAAAGATCAATAAAAAGATTTCAAATAAAAAAAAATTTTGTTTTTAGTTTTATGTTTCAAGCATTGAAGTTGAAAATTCAAATTCATATTTTCTATTTTTAGATATGCAAATGAGATAATTTGCATATACATCAATTAATTTTAACGATATTGTGAAAATCATGAACTTCAATCTAAATCCTTCAAATAGATATATTATTTCATGGGGGTCAGAATAACAGAAATCTGTCAAAAAAATTAAATAAAGTAATAACCAAATTCACTGAAAAAATGCTCTGTGTTTTTAGCTAGACCTCTGAAAAACTTCCTGTGCTAAAAGGGTTAAGTGGGAGTAAGCAGGGCCACATCCATGCAATCGCAACTCAGCTTTCAGAAACATTAGTTGAGAGAGAAAAGGACAATCTTCTTCTTGGTGGTAATTTTGAGTCTCTAATTTTGTCATCAGGAGCCGTAGCGGTGTAGGAGCTAGATGCTCCACCTGCTATGCCAAAGGTCATGGGTTCAAAGCATCACTGAGTCTGATTTTTGTTTTTTAATGACCTTAGCTCCCAGGTCAACCAAGCCTAAAACAGGCATCAGGTAACTCTTGGGAAGTAAAGGAGGCTGGCGTAATGTCGACCACATCCCTCAATGATAGCAGACAGTTCTTTTGGTATTTTACCACATAAAGCAAATTTTTCTGTTTTATTTTTTCTGTTGATTTTTTCCATAAATGTAATTATATTTACTTCTATTTCATTTACTTTTGCTGCTGATGCAATTAAACAACAGAAACTCAAAACAACAACTACTGCAGACATAAAAAATCAACAACTACCAGTGACATCCAAAAATTAACAACTACCAGTGACATCCAAAAATTAACAACTACCGGTGACATCCAAAAATCAACAACTACCAGTAACATCCAAAAATTAACAACTACCAGTGACATCCAAAAATTAACAACTACTAGTGACATCCAAAAATTAACAACTACCAGTGACATCCAAAAATTAACAACTACCAGTAACATTCAAAAATTAACAACTACCAGTGACATACAAAAATTAACAACTACCGGTGACATCCAAAAATTAAAAACTACCAGTAACATTAAAAAATCAACAACTACCGGTGACATCAAAAAATCAACTACTACCGGTGACATCCAAAAATCAAAAACTACAGGTGACATCCAAAAATTAACAACTACCGGTGACATCCAAAAATCAACAACTACCAGTGACATCCAAAAATTAACAACTACCATTGACATCCAAAAATCAACAACTACCTGTGACATCAACAAATTAACAACTACCGGTGACATCCAAAAATTAACAACTACCAGTGACATCCAAAAATCAACAACTACTGGTGACATCCAAAAATTAACAACTACTGGTGACATCCAAAAATCAACAACTACTGGTGACATCCAAAAATCAAAAACTACAGGTGACATCCAAAAATTAACAACTACCGGTGACATCCAAAAATCAACAACTACCAGTGACATCCAAAAATTAACAACTACCATTGACATCCAAAAATCAACAACTACCTGTGACATCAACAAATTAACAACTACCGGTGACATCCAAAAATTAACAACTACCAGTGACATCCAAAAATCAACAACTACTGGTGACATCCAAAAATTAACAACTACTGGTGACATCCAAAAATCAACAACTACTGGTGACATCCAAAAATCAACAACTACCGGTGACATCCAAAAATTAAAAACTACTGGTGACATCCAAAAACCAACAACTACCGGTGACATAAAAAAATCAACAACTACTGGTGACATCCAAAAATCAACAACTGCCGGTGACATCCAAAAATCAACAACGTCCGGTGACATCCAAAAATCAACAACTACCGGTGGCATCCAAAAATCAACAACGTCCAGTGACATCCAAAAAATCAACAACTACCGGTGATATAAAAAAATCAACAACTTCTGAAATCAATCTAAAAATTGTAATTGTACAATTTCAGTTACAGACCTGGAATGAACAGCCGTTCCCAATTCCAGGCCCACTCGACCTAACTGTCTGTTCATGGAGTTGTCCACGTAGGTCCTATGTGAGCTTGAACTGCTGCTAGAAAATACATGAAGATGTAAACTAAATAAATATTTCCACCAATTAATATATCTAACAGTAAATTAATATATCTAATTGTAATAAAAAGTGCATGTAAACTAAATTGCACCATTTCCTTCCAAGCAGTAGAAATCAGTGCTAGATAAACATATACTTCTAAAGCTACAGTTACCTTTTTATCTTCTTTTTCATTGTTCATCAGAGTGATGTAGTTGGGTTGTGCCTGTTTACAGCACAGCTATGATATTTGCACCTTTTGGCTGATACATCCGACTTGATCAGGTGTTTCTTCACCGGGTTAGCCTTCCCATTTGGTTTAATGGAATATGACATAGCCTTATTCAAAAACTATCATCTATATGATAGTTTTTTAGCTGGTCAAACTAGTTTTTGACGGACGTTTTCACCCATGCACAGGGGATGGGCCGAGGACAGCCATAGGGTTTCATGACACTGCACATCTAGGAGCCACCAACTCTAAGATCCCCTGCCAGCTCAGTTTAGGCCAGTAGCTTTTATCCTACAGTGCAGGATGTAGACGTGTGGCAGGCATACTGCACGACAAACCATAAAAAACCTTCGGTTTACTTTCTAATCTCCTATCCGCACCCTTTTCCTAGTGTGAAAGTAGTTGTTTTAATAGAGTTTGCATTTCATACATATAACATAAAAAATAAAAGCGATGTAAATCATTTACTTGGAATTAGCTGCTGCTCCATATGCCATACCAACTCCCCCCAACTGCCGATTCACTGTATTATCAACGTATGACCTTGGTGTCTCCGACCTGAACAGAATCAACACTGTAATAAACTACACTACATTTTTATATGGATAAATTACCTTGTATTTAGAAGGCAAAATAGAATAGTCTGAGAGACAAAGCTTCAGTTCCCAAGGAAATGCAGTCAAGAGCTGGCCATTCAACAGTAAGAATAAAACATTTTTTTTTCAATAATAGTTTCATCCTTAGATCAGAATACACAGGGTCATTGAGAATGATTGCTGGAATTTTAAACTATTATTTTTAAGGAAGTATTTAATGGTTATACTCGTGTAGCAAATAAAAATGTTCAGATATGATTGAAATTTTTTGTGTCCATGAGGTTTATAAAACAGTGCATGTGCAGAAGTGAGAATTTGTCACACTGCAATGTAAATGGCGATGTCTGAATCCACAAGAAAACCCTCCAGAATATGAAGCTTTAAATCAATGGCTGAAACAGTTCAGAGAAACTGGTAATGCTGAGTAAAGAAAATCTTGTGGCCGACCAAGAACACTGGAAGAAGATGTGGAACACATAAGGCATTCCTGCATTAGAAGCCAAAAGAAATCAACTGCTGACAGAGGTTTAGCCTCAGGGATTCCAGAAACTACCATTCAGAATGTTCGGCACAAATGCTTACGGCTCTGAGCTTACAAAATTCAGCTGCTGCATGCAATCAAACAAAACCGAATGACAGACAAAAAAAATGTGTGGAATTTAGTACAATTTTTCTCAACAGTATTAACGATGATGCAACTTTCCTACTATAGCACATTTTCTTAGTGATGAAGCAGTTTTATGTGTGAATGGGAGCGTTAATGTACATAACTGTTGCATCTGGGTTCACAGCCACTAAGGGAGTTTCATAAGTATGTTCGCAGGTCCCCTTAGGTTGAATGTCTGGTGCAGACTGCTGTTGATCACACTATTGGTCCATTCTTCTTTGAAGAAAACACCAATATCGGATGCCACAAATGTAAATTCATTAAATACTTCTTCTTTAAGGATAACAGTAAGAAACCAAGCAATCATTCTCGATGACCCTGCACAAAGAGAACAGAGAAAATAATCAACAAGTGTTTGTTTTACTTTTTCAGTGGGGTTTACTATAACTAACATGATCTCAGCATGGCAACTGGTCTAGAACTTTACTTTTAACTTAACAGCTGCTTTTATAAACTTAATACTAATGTCAGCAATGCAAGCTTGAAATATATTACAGTAAATGCCATCTCGAGAAAAATACTAATCAAAAAGGTTTATGAAGAATACTGTGGGCAGGAAACAAAACATTTGTCACATGGTTAAATTAAAAATCTTAGTAACTTAGCAGGTATTCTTTTTAGCCAATTGATGTGATGATTAGATTTTAAATTGGTTAATTAATTAAAATTGGAAGAAAAGAAGTGTTAAATAAGATTTTATTAGTCATCAGTAAAGTATATAAAGTAACATCAAGAATCAAATGTGTGTATTTCAGAAAAACAGTGCTGATATAAATATTCTGTTGTGGGTTGGTTTTCTCATTTTCAAATTAAGCATGGACAGTGGCTATTTAGCACATTTTTGTTTTGCTTCTGACAGCTGAAAGGTTTTTCAAATTCATAATATTTATAGGTGTTTTCCACTGCCTTCTCTAATAATGCCTAACAACTGAATCAAGTTACATTTTGAAAATAGGTTACAGGAAGCGTTTCCATGTTGCATTGTGTGACAACATAATATGCTTACAAACTTCTGTGTTCTGAATGTATTCGTATTACAAATCGTCAAGCAGATATTGTAAAGTGGTTATACAAGATTTTCAAACTTTGTTGTTAGATTACAGCAATTTTAATTTTAATTCACGGGAGACAGTCGTGTTGTGATGTGTGTGTCACTGTTTCTAGTCAGTAGTTCGGATTTTTGGGAACTGGCTGTTTATTACTTTTCTACTTTAAATGTAGAAATCTTACTTTTAGGGAAAATACAAACAGGTAATTTAGAAGCTATATCTGGAGAATATTGACAGTTGTTAGGTGCAAACTATCTTGTGTTGGAAGAAAACTATTGCTTTCATATTGACTGTGCATAAATGGTGCAACCACACTGTGGTTAAATTGTGTCAAGATATTTTAGAGCTCTGGGTAAGTGAATAGAAACAATATTTTATTTACTAACTAACCTCTCACAGCAAGTCACTCATTGCCTCTTTACTAATTGTTGACTAACAGTATAATTATATGTTGTAGCAGTACACTAATAATATTAATCCTTAACCATTTGACTTAGGCTTCGCGAACACTGGCTGTAAACTCTTGCGGAAACTTCTAGTTGTTCATCCACTTCTTATGCATATTTGCAGTTGTACGGTCTGTGTTAATTTTTGTAAACTGGCTTTTGCTTCGTGAACGCTGGCTGTAAACTCTTGCGGAAACTTCTGGTTGTTCATTCACTTCTTATGCATATTTGCAGTTGTACGGTCTGTGTTAATTTTTGTAAACTGACTTTTGCTTCGCGAACACTGACAGTGATTAGAAATATGTGTGATGTATTTTTTAACAGTTACCAAAAAATTTTCAATGATAAGGAATTGATTTCATCCAACAAGATGAAACTGGACAAATTTGTTTGGGCTGTTTGTACCTTGAGGATACATATTTAGTAGTGCTATAAGTACTGTTAAGAAAACTACTCTGGGTGAAAAAAAGTATTGCACATATCAATTTCATACTGATTGTGCTTGTTTACTAATTATTAAATAACAGCGTAATTATATGTTGTAGTAGTCTACTAATAATAATAATAACCACCAATCATTTATATTTATGTTATGTATGACATGTGTATGTTTCATAGCAGTATTTTTATGCACTAAATTTGATAAAGTACAAATGTCACTCCCCTTCCCCCCCCCCCCCCCCCCCCCCCCCCCCCCCCCCACCCGCTCCTCTGATGCAAGAATACCCTCTCAGAATCAAAGAGTTAGCACTGATATTTCTTTACTTTTGCTGGAACAACTTTTAGTTTATACCTAAATGTTATTGATGTTTATGTTCATGTTGACTGTAGTAAAAGCATTTTTGTTTGTCTGTAAGAGCCTTTATTGTTATATTTAATTGGCACACTTATTTACCTTAAAAATGAGGTATAGTTCTATAAAATATGTCGAAAATTAATGAAACTAGTTTAATTTGTGTATACATCTCCTCGATAAAAACTGTGGACCAGAGGGACTCAATTCTTGCACAAGAACGGGAATCCTCGTTGACCTGTTAGGCCTATAAATAGAGAAGGCCGAGGTGTTTTCTTAACTTTATCAAAATTATCAAGAAAGTTGACATCTGATCCACTGGTGGAATTTATAATTGTCATGATTAGGATGAAAAGTACTGTGATGTCATTTAGAACACATCCATAAGAGATCAGGACTACACTTGTTTGCCACTGATCATGCTCAACTATCTTATTTTCACACACACCAGCATGTATAAAGCAAAAGATCCACATTGTTGTAAAAAAATAGTCAGTAGTACCACAGCCATACAATCTTAACTGAACTTTCACAAACAATATCTAAGATAAGAAAGGACAATCTTTTTTCATCAGGAGCAAAGTCCGGCACAGACAGTCATAATTATGAGTCTCTACTTCTATTACCTTGGGAGCTCACATTCTTGTTTGTCCGAAGGTTTTCAACATTTGTTCTTTAATTTGACATTGCTTTTATTATTATTTTTTACTCAGCTGTTTAATCTTCCCATATGCATTCTGTATGTCTTCTTCTGCCACTTTTGCCTGGAATTGTTACACAATAGGCAAACTTTCCTATTCAACTTTTCAACTGATAGGTCCCATAGATTTGTATCACTTTTATTATCTGTTCATTATATTCTTAGCATTCTTCTTAAAACCCACATATTCCAGGTATCCAGTTTTCATACATTATTACTCACTGTCCAACATTTTCACCCATACCAAAGAATAGATGATTCATAGAGACAGGAGTTGTCTTTTTTTCACAGTACTGAAAAGATACATCTGTATGGCAATGACAGCACCCCTCTCCATTCTTATATTAGTGTGTTACTTTTTACATTTTAGTCTGCTCATTGATAACATAACACATTAGTTAAGGAACCTCTGATTAATAGTAAAGCAGGAGAGATCCACCACTTAATACATTTGAATCATCAGCCCTAGATTGAGAATCCGTCATATTTCCAACTCCAGATCTGTCCTCCCATCATACTATTCTCTGCACTTTCTTCTGGTTGTGATTGTTGCCTGACAGCAGTTCATCACAATAAAATAAAATATATAAATAGGATCATATACTGTGACAAAAAAATTGTTATGGAAATGCAAAGACAATAATATTTACATTTAAAACACACAGATTATGATACTTAAACAAAAATCTGAGCACACTAGGAAAAGATACACAATCAATTTATTTAAAAAAAAGAAATTTTTAATTAGTTGTGGGAATAGCCTGTGCATATTTTGTGAGATCTCTACAGTGAAGGTCTACTGGGAAAATCACATGTTATCACTTCCTGAGCATATCTTGAACCAAGAGATGTAAAATCTACCTGACTACTAATTAGAAAATTTAACACTTTCCATCAGTGTTTAGTTGAAAATCAGGTTCAAAAGTATATTAATAAATTTTCATTTTGAAAGGTAAAATCCAGAACAAAGTGACATATGCTGTTGTTGTTGCACTTGAAAGACTGTCCATGCCTTAATTTATGTGCAAGTTTTCATCCTCGACGATCAGTATTTTGCGCATACAATATATTCTACCAATCAGACGGCTTGGCGGCGTCTACATCTGACCAATCAGAGGACTTGGCGGCGATTACTTTGTATAGAATTGTTTATATCTGGTGATATATATATATATATATATATATATATATATATATATATATATATATATATATATATATATATATGTATACACACACACACACAATCTGGAAGAAGAAAAAACAGTTGCAGGAATGGTCGGTGCACAATTTAAAAGATCTCTATGGTACATGTTTACTGAAAAATAGAATTACATGTCATCACATCCTGAGCATATGTTAAACAAAGAGATGTAAATTCTACCTCAGTCTACTAAGTAAACCTAACTGGAATGAATTGCTGTCTCATGTGCCATGCTTATTTTCTATAGGTCAATATCATTCTTTTGTAAGTGTCTCTATAATGCAGCTGGTACAGTTAACAGGAACCTTCAGCCTCAGCTATCATTTACATTAAAAGTCACAGCAAAAATTAAACAAATTTAGTTACAGACCTGGAATGAACAGCCGTTCCCAATTCCAGGCCCACTCGGCCTAACTGTCTGTTCATGGAGTTGTCCACGTAGGTCCTTTGTGAGCTTGAACTGTTGCTGGAAAATATATGAAGATAAAAACAAACAAATATTCAATACATCACATTATGTTAATAATAAAGAGGATATGCAAAATTAACTGCATCAACTCATGTCTTTGGCTTCTTTTGTGGTCATACTGTTATCAGTGGTTGTGATTCTCTGTATTGGATTTTGCGTTTCTTGCAAGGCTCAATTTAATCTTTTTGCAGGTTTCAGCTACAACATCTATCCACTTCTTCCTTGGTCTACCTCAGATCTTCCAACCTGATGTTTTGCTACAGACAGTTAGGTCTAGCTGCATTAATATTAGATGGCAAAACCACTTCTTTCTCTGTCTTTCAATGTCATTCAGGCATGATCTCATCCCAACCTTCTGCTCTCATGCTGATGTTTGAGACCCTGTCCTTTCTTGTGTTGGTGGTGACCTTCCTGAGAGAACACATTTTTTATGTAGTTTTTTTTTCTGTTCATATAATCTACTCACTGTCCATGTTTGACAGCAGAAAGTTGGGATGAAGATGCTATTAATCCTTTGCTGTTTTGCTGGAAGGGAAGACTTTCAGGTGTCTAAGGCTAGCTGATAACAGCATTTGCCTTCTGGACTCTAGTTTCTATCTATCAAGTCTGTTATCTTCTATAAAAATTCTTCCTAGGTTTAGAATTCCAGTAATCATTATATGAATTGTAATGAAACGCTATTATGTTTCCTACCTATTCTAATTATCTCAATTTTCATAGTATTATTTTCATTTGATCCTTTTATTTATTCTGCTTTGTGTAGTTGGTGATTAATTACACCATCACCAGCTTTCTAGGCCGGTCACAAGGGTGGACAAGAAAAAAAAATCTGACCTAATCAATTCCCTTCTCCTCCCAACCTCAAACATTATTTCCTTTCCATCAATAGAAATCAGTCCTGTAAAAATCACACATTCTTTTGGTTGTATATTTACACAGCTGATCTATTTTTTTTTATACATTTGTAATATTTTGGGAAAATAATATTCTTTCAGTTTTGTTTAAAAATTTATTATCCAAAGATTATTTTAGAATCATTAAAGGAGATGAGAAATTATTCAAAAATGTCTCATTAATGCACACTACTTTCAGCATCATCATAATGTGTGATTTGAGTTGCCTACTACATTTTAAACATTTTATATATTTTGTATGCCTATAATTTTGTGATATATATCAAAAATGTTACAGGCTGCATCATGTGATGATAAATTTTCTGTTCCAAACTGTACATGTGATCTCATTAGGCATTGAACCACATCTGCCTTAGCATCAATCAGTATTCCACTAAGCTGTCTAGAGCCAGCCAATCTGTCTGCCTGTTCATTATCCACACACCGGCATAACCCAGAGAAAGGATCCAGACAATGCTCTTCACCCTTGACCTCTGAAGGGAAGCATGCCACTCTGTACGAAGCAAGCCTGCCCTCCTTCATCAGAATGTTTTCTGAGTCAGTGGACTGAGGTAGATTTTACACCTATTTGTTGAGGATATGCTCAGGATGAGATGATGTATGATTCTACTTCCCAGTAAACCTGCACCACAAGATGGAACAACCTGTCTAATTCTTTGCCATCGTGTCTCCTTCCCAGAGAAACCAAATACCATTTTGCAAAGCTGGGTCAAATAAAAAGCCTTACAGTCAATAATAAAAATAAACAACAGGTAAACAATGCACTCTAAGAATTTAACTACAGTATTTAATTATGTGCTAGAGTTGTTCAAAGGTCTACAATCAGTCATAAAAATTTTTTAGCAATTTCAACAACAAAAACTATGCTTTAACAGTGTTAATGAACCTTCCAGTATGGCTCAGTTCAGTTTAAAATCTCCAAGATACTGTGTGCCAAATGACAGTGAACTCTCATGACTCAAACATTTTTGTTTGTTCAAACAGCTGATAAGGAGAAAACTGGAGTACATCATGATAGTAGAACAGTTGCAGGGGAAGAGAGGCAGAGTGAGACCAAGAAGAATGATGCTGGACAGTCTGACATCATTGCATGGAGGATCATCTGTATTGGAGCTGACTGAAAGCACATGAGACAGAAGGTAGTGGATAGACATGACTACCGACGATACATGTGTTGGTGGTGACCTTTCTGAGAGAACACATTTTTTATGTAGTTTTTTTCTGTTCATATAATCTACTCACTGTCCATGTTTGACAGCAGAAAGTTGGGATGAAGATGCTATTAATCCTTTGCTGTTTTGCTGGAAGGGAAGACTTTCAGGTGTCTAAGGCTAGCTGATAACAGCATTTGCCTTCTGGACTCTATTTCTATCTATCAAGTCTGTTATCTTCTATAAAAATTCTTCCTAGGTTTAGAATTCCAGTAATCATTATATGAATTGTAATGAAAGGCTATTATGTTTCCTACCTATTCTAATTATCTCAATTTTCATAGTATTATTTTCATTTGATCCTTTTATTTATTCTGCTTTGTGTAGTTGGTGATTAATTACACCATCACCAGCTTTCTAGGCCGGTCACAAGGGTGGACAAGAAAAAAAAATCTGACCTAATCAATTTCCTTCTCCTCCCAACCTCAAACATTATTTCCTTTCCATCAATAGAAATCAGTCCTGTAAGCATCACACATTCTTTTGGTTGTATATTTACACAGCTGATCTATTTTTTTAATACATTTGTAATACCATTTTGCAAAGCTGGGTCAAATAAAAAGCCTTACAATCAATAATAAAAATAAACAACAGGTAAATAATGCACTCTAAGAATTTAACTACAGTATTTAATTATGTGCTAGAGTTGTTCAAAGGTCTACAATCAGTCATAAAAAATTTTTAGCAATTTCAACAACAAAAACTATGCTTTAACAGTGTTAATGAACCTTTCAGTATGGCTCAGTTCAGTTTAAAATCTCCAAGATACTGTGTGCCAAATGACAGTGAACTCTCATGACTCTAACATTTTTGTTTGTTCAAACAGCTGATAAGGAGAAAACTGGAGTACATCATGATAGTATAACAGTTGCAGGGGAAGAGAGGCAGAGTGAGACCAAGAAGAATGATGCTGGACAGTCTGACATCATTGCATGGAGGATCATCTGTATTAGAGCTGACTGAAAGCACATGAGACAGAAGGTAGTGGATAGACATGACTACCGACGATACATGGTGAGGACTTTGAGAAAAATAAAAATAAAAACAGCTTTTGAATCAATAACATAATAATATAAAATGTAGCAAACAGGAAGAATATTAAAAATAAACCGACATAGCATAACAAACAAAGAAGATATTGGCATGTGAGGTACAGTATTCAGTTAAATAATTAGAGCACAATGTAAAACAACTGTCAGGTACAGTATGCTATTCATTAACCACAGTACAATGTAAAACAACTGTGAAGTATAGTACTCAGTTCATTAACTACAGTGCAATGTAAAACAAGAGAAGTAAGTACTTAACATGACTGTGAGATATAATGCAGTCATTTTAAAATGCAAACTGTGTCAAATAAATCCTAGAATTCCCTCTCCCTCCCTCCCTCTCTCTCTCTCTCTCTCTCTCTCTCTCTCTCTCTCTCTCTCTCTCTCTCTCTCTCTCTCTCTCTCTCTCTCTCTCTCTCTCTCTCTCTCTCTCTCTCACTCATGTAAGATGCAATTTTTTTTCTGTTTTTTCTTATATTATTTAACATACCTCTGATAACCTGAACTGCTGCTACTATGAACTGCAGAGCCAACTGGCATGCCAACCCTTCCTAGCTGGCGATTCATTTTATTGTCAACATATGTTCGAGGCATCTCTTTAGAATATATAAAACAAATAGACTTTATATGATACTGGTAAAAAGTAAATTAGCAGAAGGGATTATGCCTCTGATACATTGCGAAATTGTGGTACATCTTTAAAACTGTAGAAAGTTCTGAAAATCTTTGTAGAGTTGCACATAATTATGAATTCAACTTGCCAGAATACCTCACTTAACAGGTTGTGGCCCAGAGTGCATGAAGGTGAACACTCCAACTATAGTATCTGCAACTGAACTAATTTTATTTTTACTTTGCCTAACTGCAGAAGATTTACAATGATGACCAAGGTTCATTACTTCTGCCCATTTGGTTTACTGTTTGTCATAGAATGTTTCTTCTAACTATTCACCAATATCTTGATTCTGGCTACATCAATTCCATTCCATATGTTTTGCTACATTCAGTCATCTGATGTTAAAGGTAAGAAAATCATACTTTAATCCAGCTACCAGATTAATATGATCAGCAAATCACTAAGCAAACTGGTAATAAAAGAATGTATGTGCATTTGTTCCTTGTGCTTTTTTTTTTTTTTTAATTTGGCAATTTTAAAATTCCTATAACATTTACGACCATTTTGTTCATAAACATTTCTTCTGTATCATCATCATCATGTAGCAGTTCCTTTGCAGAATGTGGCTCTCATCACTGCCTGCCTGAAAGAAACTCAGGTATCTCACCAGATCTCCTGCTTCATGCACTTTCCTACCCAAGGTGTCATTTATATCCTGCACCCATCTTCATTTTGGTCAGCCCCTGCCATTATTTCCTGGCCCCATGTCTTTTACTATTTTTTCCAATCTGCCATGGTGCTTGATATGGCCAAAATATTTCAGTTGCCATGACAAGATGTTATTTACTAGCCAATCTTCCTTGATGTTGAATCTTTTAGGATGACAATGTTTCTTTTCTTGCTTCACAGTGTTATGAGAACCTTCCTATAGGGTTTCAGATCAAAAGCTCCTTTTTCTCTTCCTTAGTGACTGTGGGATAGTCCAGGACTTACATCCAATGGCACCAATAACTGTCTAATTGTCTATCCATCTTGTCCTTCTCTTGAGTGCTGAGCGTCGGCCAGATCCCCTGGCAATTCCTTGCAGCGCCATTCTCCTCAGACTGTAGTAATCTATTTATGCCCCCACACTGTTCACTCATGCACAAAGGGTCCTCAATACATCTAGCTTGTCATACATCAATTCACCACTAAGTGGTACAGAACCAGTCAGTCTTTCTGCCTGCTCATTTCCCATTGCCAACACACCAATTGGACCTGGAGAAAAAATCTAAAGAATGCTAACTACCTGGGGCCTCTGAAGTGATGCTTGCCAATCTGCACGAAGCATGCCTGTCTCTACCTTTCTAACACGCTCTGTAAGTTAGTTAAAATTATGACATGTGTGTACAGCTGATTCTCAAGCCAGCAGAAAGCAGCAGTGAGTGCCTCCACCTCCATTCTCAAACTAGACGTTGTGAAATCATATGCCAGGCTTTGCTGCACTAATTGATGTCCATTCGCTTTTGCGATAAATCCCCACACCCTTCGTCTGCCCATCAACACACAGCCATCTATATAAATAATCACATAATTTGGGTGGGAATTGTCATGAATTATTTGTTGAACTTCTGATTTGCAGCACCATCTGGCCAGTCCCTGCACTCACGACCTAAACTGCTTAGAAACCTACACAAATCTTGATTCTTGCTCAGAAACTTTGACCCACTCCTCTTGTCACCCATATTTATCAAGCCAGCATTCATGTCTAATTGCATCTTCAGCCTGCACTATTCAAACCTTCCTCTTTTCAGTCTGTGGCCCTTAGCTTTACCTAGGGCTTTCATGCAGGAGGTGCTTCTTGTCTGCAGCTACTCTGAGATTATGACTTTGCTTGCAGAACTTTGAGCCTGTCTACAATAGTAGGCAGTGCAAGCATATATGGCATACATCCTACTGGAGTATCTCTGTATATCCCAGAATTACCCACATGGCTTCATTCTCCACATGATCTCTGAAGGACAGGCTTCTATCGAAAATGATACCCAGGTACCTCAATTTACTTTCTTTTTTGATGTTTCTGTCAAAAACTGTAAGACTTGAAGCATTAGATCTTACAATTCTATTGTCAGGACAGCATAATAAAATGGCCGACTTTTCTAAGTTGATGACCACACCCACATGCACACCAGTCAGCCACTTTAAAAAATAAAAAGGTTATTTCTTTAAAATGCTAACATTTAGTCATTTCACCCCTGCATTTTACTTGGACGCAAGTCAAAATACATTTTTTGTCAAAATACAAATTTTGTCTATGGTATGCTACTAAAATTTTTAGATCTCTGCTTAGAGTTGACTCATATCAGTGGCCCTCAAACTTCCTAATACAGAGAGTCTTTAATACAGTTCCTTATGTTGTGGTGACCCCAAAACATACAATTATTTTCATAACTTGAAAAATTATGTGTTTTCTGATGGTGTTAGGCGACCTCTGTGAAAGGGTCGTTCGACCCCCCCCCCCACCCCCGCCCCCACTTCTCCAAAAAAAAAAAAGAGTCATAACCCACAGTTTGAGAACTACTGACTTACAAGCTTCAATAACTAATGGTTGGATGGTTTCATACGTAAAAACCCAATATAGAAAACTGTCCAAGCATGCTTATTTTATTTCCATTAAATTTGGCTACTTTGGGACATAAATATAAAGAGTTAAAGTACGATCTGTTTGTGACTGAATTAGTTGTTAATGTCTACAGATTTAATCAATGTGTTTCCAAGCTGTTTTTAGCTGGCCTATGGAAACACGGTACTGTTACAACCATATTTTCGGTGGTCGTGCTTTTGCGTGGAACATCTCTGACAGCCAGGTTATCGTGCACATGAGTCTACAAATTAGTAGAGAGAGATTTAAGCCTGGACTATGGTTTTGCCAACCTAGCGCCCTAACAAACCTTGCCTAATCAATCATCACCACCACTATCGTGTTCTGCCATTGAAACATCGCATTAGGCTCACAGTCTAGTCCCTAGTTCTGTTCTATCCTGTGTAACCCAACCCTTTCACTATCATGGATGGAATCTAGTCCAGCTTTGTTTGTATTCCATTGCCTAATCAATCATTAATATTTTTGTTAATAGCTTCACATAGTACCAACAAACATGAATCTAAGGAGTTACTAAGTATTGCAAAACAACTTACTTGAAATTTGCCTTTGTGGTGAATATAACAAACAGCTAGGTATAAACTGACTGAAATCTCATTTGGAAAACTCAGGAAATAAAGGGCAGTTCGGTTTGTTTCAGTTTCAACGCTGTTTCAGTTTCATTGCTGGTTTTCCACGAGCTCTATTATTAAGCTCAGTAACTAAACGCCGTTTTTATTCAACTTCATTTCGTGTTAAATTCTAAGAATAAAACAACTACATCCGTCATGAAACTAATTTCCACAAGAAGGTGTGTATAATTTGTTTATTTCACAGCGTGACAATGTCAAGGACATCCATTGACAGCTGTAGTATTGTAACGTACTGGCTGTTCAGTGATGTGGTAGGCAGCTTTCAAACACACACACGCATTCACACACACCACACATTTACGAGTACACATAATCATGCTCTCTCTCTCTCTCTCTCTCTCTCTCTCTCTCTCTCTCTCTCTCGCTCTCTCGCTCTCTCTATCTCTCTCTTGCTCTCTCTCTCTCTCTCTTACACACACACACGCACCACACACACACGCACGCACACATCCATACACACGTTCACAAACCCCTCCTTACCCTAACCTACTGTAGGACTAGTGTACCTTTTTACTCCCGGCACATTTCGGATCATACTGAAATTGTCGCGACCCTTACTCATTGCTAGATGTAGGTATAAGCTACAGCTTAGGGCCTCACAATCTGCAGGGTTCTAAACAAATGCATACTTGTTCAACGTTTTCACAATGCACTTGTCATATTCTGTTTCCATCCATACATTGAAGCGAACATTTGAAAGTGGATACCAGAATTATCTCGAAAAAAGAAGAAATTCAACACAAAGATATGTCTCAAACTTTCAAGACTGGATTCAGTTAGTCCCCCCAATGCTAAAGCAATATGACGACTATTTCTATGTCTAACAGTAACAAGTTATTCCAGAGAAAAATCTGTTCCACGGCTAAATAGAATTGAAAATGAACTGAGAGCAACAATGTCTCAAGAAAAATTTTCGGCACTTTACATCACGCGTATAGAAAGCGACATGTTATGCAGCATATCTTATGATTTGGAACACCAAAAAAACGTTTTCAGTTATAGTAGTTTGTCAAAAAATCCTGTTCAACCCTCATGGCTATAATTTCAGCCTTTCTCTCGTAAACCACTGTTGTTTCTCAGATCACCCCCAGACAGCCTTTCTCTCGTAAACCACTGTTGTTTCTTAGATCACCCCTAGACAGCCTTTCTCTCGTAAACCACTGTTGCTTATCAGATCACCCTCAGACAGCCTTTCTCTCGTAAACAACTGTTGTTTCTTAGATCACACTCAGACAGCCTTTCTCTCGTAAACCACGGTTGTTTCTCAGATCACCCCCCAGACAGCCTTCTCTCGTAAACCACTGTTGTTTCTCAGATCACCCCCAGACAGACTTTCTCTCGTATACCACGGTTGTTTTTCAGACCAACCCCCCCCCCCTCCCCGACAGCCTTTCTCTTGTAAACCACTGTTGTTTCTTAGATCAACCTCAGGCAGCCTTTCTCTCGTAAGCCACGGTTGTTTCTTATATCAACCTCAGACAGCTTTTCTCTTGTAAACCACGGTTGTTTCTCAGATCACCCCCAGATAGCAGTTCTCTCGTAAACCACTGTTGTTTCTTATATCACCCTCTGACAGCCTTTCTCTCGTAAACCACTGTTGTTTCTCAGATCATCCCCAGACAGCCTTTCTCTCGTAAACCACTGCTGTTTCTCAGATCACCCCCCACATAGCCTTTCTCTCATAAACCACTGTTGTTTCTTAGAT